CCACTGCCATGGGAACAAACAAGCGAGGGGAGGATGGAATGGATGGGGACGAGACGAGAGAAAAGATGCCAATATAATCCAGATTTTTCTGCGTGGCCGCGTGGGCCCCATGCTCCTTGCCATCTTCTTCCAACGTGCGTGCAGTCAAAATTTTCATCAGGAACAGTACCGGCTCGTTTGGTTCTATACCAAACTTTGCTCCTGCCATGGAATTAAATTTGTATGCTTTGGTGTAAAAATCATGTTCAGTTGAAATTAAATCAAAGTGTCCAAAATTGTGGTAGGATGTGTTTGTACAGAATATAAGAGCTACTGGTGTAAAAATTATGTTCAGTTGAAATAAAATCAAGTGTCCAAAAAGTAAGGTCCCGTCAGGATCAAATAATTGAGTAGGAACTTGAAATTATTTGGAGCAGAAGAAACATTTGCAGACTTGAGCACAATTTGTTTGTGTGTTTTTCAGATAACCCGTGAACAAAAATCTCCATCTTACAGTTTAGCCATTCTAACCAGTGAATTTTCCCACAATTTTATATCGAGGTAAAAAATATCTTGTCTTCTGTTTCTAAATTATGGTACTGAAAATACAATTAGATTTTTATACAACTCTTACCCTTTTTTAATGTAAACATTTGTAATTTCTATATAATATTTTGAAAGTAGAATTAGGTTTTATATACAACTACTCTTACCTTTTAATGTATAAAGTTGTAAATTATACAGTGTATTTCAAAAGTACATTTTGAATTTGTTATACAACTCGTAATTTCCATCTTTATTTTTTTTTCTTTGATTAATGTGGCAATTTTTAGTCTCGAGATCAAATGTTGGGGTGTCTTACAGAGCTATCTTTATAGATAGATATATAGATAGATTCTTATCCGAGAGGTTTATGCTTTCAATTCCATACTTAAAATGGCATGGAATATATGAAATTCAAAGTATCTAATAATAATTATTATTATTGACATGTGGTAAGTGGTGCATTTGCGCACGTAGCTTATCAAGATTTAAACCTATATTTGGCACTAGTATCCACCAATTTTAGCAATACATACACAAGTGTGCCATAAATGGGCATGTGTGTGTCTACGGTCGCAAGGTGTTTGATACCTCCAACATCGTTTCAAGCATACGTAAAGGACATCTATGGCATATGTAAGGGTGATGTACTATTTGTGTGTGTCGAATTACTACTTTATAAAGAAAGTTCATTGTACTCCTCTGCACTATTTTATTGGATCATTTAACCCCCTAAACTATTTATTGGCTCATTTTACACCCTAAACTATTAGTAATACTTCATAGAATTTATGTTCTTTGATTTTCTTTATACAAATTATATTTTAATCTAAAACTTTGTAGAGCGATAGATGAATCATTATCAAAGGTATAAAAATATTTTCAGATTTTTTTAATAATATTTGCTTCAAATTTTAAATCTTGATGTTTAAATCAATCTTAGGTGTTTCCAACAAAGATAGATAAAAAATTTACTAAAAATGTTGAAAGGTGAGCTATATATAATGCATTTATCAATCATTCCAAATTTTTTGTGCAAAATACGACTTGTATAGCAAGAAACAAAAAATAGAAATACAATTAAGGATAAGATGGATTGTTTTCCATAGTTTATGGGTGTAAAAATAAGTTAAAAAATAGTTTAGAGGGTCATGTGATTTGGCGAAATAGTTTGGGGAGTAAAATGAAACTTTTTTCCTCTCTAAAAAAATAAAATAGTGCACTGGCAATGCATTTGAGTTTTAGTTTTCAATCCAAGATCGAGTTTGTTTTGGATGAATTTTATGTGGTTGTTCTATGGAAAAGAACATTTCTTATTTATGTAAAAATATTTTATTTTTTATTGAAAAATGGTTTATCAGTTGGTTTCTAGATACCAATCATTTCCTCCAGCAAATTTAAATACTCCATTTCAAGCAACAAATATGAATTAAAACATAAATTATTTTTTTGTGGAACAAAATATATTTTAAATTTTGAAAAGAAGTCGATGAAAATAATGGGAAAAACAGTAAAAGAATCTTCCTTTTTTCGCTAAATGGGAAATATCGTGAATAACTTTTATCCTATGGTGACGATTATATTGACGGTGTGAGCGAGCAAATGGCTGTCTTGATTAGTTTAACTAGCAAAATCTGCCAAATGTAAGTGAAAGGTTACTGCTAAATGGAGTTGTTATAACTTATAAACTAACAAATTTTGTCCTTGATTTAGGGCGAGCAACTAATGCCACTAAAGAATCTCAATAATTTTTGGGCTGAAAATCTTTTGAGCAGGCTTGAAAAGGTTGGTCAAACTTTATGAAAGATAAGAATCTACTTTGGAAAAAAAATCTTTTTGAAAAGGGATAAAGGGAGGCATAGAGATACCGGGATGGAACCACGGACACAGTACAAGAGACTGGAAGAAACACTGCTACCTGCAAACGGAAAACACAACATCATAAGCCTGAATTTCCACCCTCCCTAACACGTACTTTGCCACTTGAAGATGCATGCATGCAAAAGCTAAGCACACTTTTTTCTCGAGCTGGGAACTGAGTTTTCAGTTCTGATCCGTCTTTAAGCTTGGAATTAAGCCGGCGTGCGTGCGTGCGTGCGTGCGTACGTGCACATCAGCCGCTGGAACCTGGAATAATCCGGGTGCCCCTCTGTGCCCCACCCCGCTTTGCCGCGAGCCACAAGAACGCTGGAAATGTGGCCACTTCTTTTCCCGAAAGCTTTCACGACGATGTGGAATCCGGCAAAGCCGGCATGATTGGTCGGCGCGACAAAATTAAAAGCGAGGGCGCAACGAAGGCGAGACGCACTCACCGTGTCCTCTCTCGCCGGCAGCGGCATGGCGATCGACCTCATCGCGTTTCAACGGAGGTCATCACGATCATGATCACAGCTTCTCGATCCTTCGGCGACGCGAGGATAATTGACCTAGCTAGGCTTGGGAGCAACATTCCGGTGATATTATGGCTTCGGGATACCTTGTTTAGGGTGCTAAATTGGATCTGGATGGGGGAAGAATCCTCCGCCTTTTGGGGAAAGTTGGCGTCACGAGAGTAAAGGGGGAGTCAAGAATATGGAAGAAAACGAGATATGCTACGCTTGCTTGTCTTGAAACGGGACTCCTTTTGTTGTTCATATTCTTTTTCTTAAGTAGCTTTCCCTTGTTCTTCCTATAGAGGCAAGATGTGAATATATAGTTGCATTCTCGTGTGATGCGTATTGCACGGACAAACTATTATTCTTTCTGTTAATTCATTTCATAAGCCGTATTTTAATTTCAGGAATATTTGAAATCAAACTTTGGTCATTAATTTACAAAATATTTTCCGCATCGTGCGAAAGTACAGTCAGCCCAGGTTCTTAATCCTGTGAAGCTAAAAATGGCATAAATACGTAAGTATGTGAGATCAATCCATATGATTTTTCATTGTTTTATGTATTTTTCACATGCCCGATAGATATGCATTTTGCAAAAACTTGTGGGCTTAGCTAACCCCACAATTGTAACGTTGCTCCGTCCCCTATGTCAAGTACTCTCTCTGTTTCACAATATAAGTCATTCTAGCATTTTTTACATTCATATTAATGTTAATGAATCTAGACATATATATATATATATATATATATATATATATATATATATATATATATATATATATATATATATATATATATATATATATATATTCATTAACATCAATATGAATATGGGGAATGCTAGAATGACTTACATTGTGAAACATAGGAAATATCAATCTATTGCTATAAACTTAATGTACTGTATATGCTTGTAAATTACTCCCACCATCCTACTCACGGACACTCAAAATCTCTTATATTTTGGGACGAAGTAAGTAACTAATTATTGGTTAAATAAATTGAAATACACCTTGGAAGTGAGCATTTTTCATTTTCATTTTCTATTGCTAGGTGGCATTGAGCTTCACCTATCCATGACGACTATCAACATATGGATCGAGATTTCTAGGGTGGACAAGAAATAGCTCAAGGCTTACGCGAACCCAACCTAGTTTGGGTATCACAATGGTGAAAGCCTGCAGACCTCAATGGGCATTTAGTTCTACACATACGATTTTTATGTTTTCAAACAATTATTTTTGAATTGTTAGATTTTCAAAGTTTCAAAAGTTTAACTGAATAAAGTGCATTTAAACTCGAGGGAGTACTAACTTTCTTGTGCTTGCTATTTATCAATCGCCTATTTTTTCTTTTATCAATTGGTCACCTAAAATTGCAAATGAAGTGCAACTTTCACTTTGATTTGTTATATATTTTATCGACTAAACTAGATGCATTATTATGCTTATATAAGTCATAATTTCTACTTTCATACTTATAAGATTTTACACCAAAGCTTTTTTTTAGTTTAAAACACTGTTTGATTCACCACACGAAAAAATATATACTCTCCTCTTTTATATTATAAGTCGTTTTGATTTTTTTTCTTAGTCAAATTTTATTAAGTTTGATCAAATTTATAGGAAATTTAGCAACATCTAAAATACTAAATTAATTTTATTAAATCTATAATTAAAAATATTTTGGTAATATATTTGTGTTGTGTTGAAAATATTACTATATTTTTATATAAACTTTATCAAACTTAAAAAAGTTTAACTAAAATAAAAATCAAAATGACTTATGATATGAAATAGAGGGAGCACGTAAGTGTGAATGAGTGTGAGTTATTGATTTGGTCTGAGTGTAAAAGAAAAATGCTTGATATATATAAGGAAAAAAAACAGTCCCTTGATAAATAGATAGCCCCAACTTCTTTTAGATTTTCTTTTTCGAAAAGAGACAATTTCTTTTTAGATTTTAAGAAGCGCACAATCGCTCGTATTTCCACCCATGTGTGCTAGTTTTCACACTCACCATCTCTATCCAATAATAGTTCAACGCTACTTACAATTTAAGTCAACATCAGTTCCTACACACGTTTGTCAGAAATGGCTGCTAATGAGTGGACTATATAGACAACAGTTTGTCTTCCAAACAAGGCCCAAATTACCCTAGGAAAGTTCTAAAAAAGAGAGAAAAGTATCCCTAGGATTATACACCCTAGATTAATCCCTCTGTTTAAGCAGTCAAGCTAAACCCGTCATTATTTCAGTTTGATGTTAAGACGGTCAAGTCTCTGACCTCCCGCGGAAGCACACCAACCGCTTGCCGAACGTACCACACAGCCAATTCATCGAACACCTTGTCTGCTAACACCATGCCGCCGCCGCCGTCTTCCAGCGCGCCTTGGCAGCTGGAGGACGCGGTCATGGCGAGGCTCCGCGCCTGCGTGACGTTCCGGGACCTCCTCCGCGTCCACGGGCACGTCGTGCGGCTCCGCATCTCGCAAAGCAGCTACCTCGCCACCCAGATCGTCCATCTCTGCAACGCCCACCGCCGCGTCACCCACGCCGCGCGGGTGTTCGCCCAGGTGCGCGACCCAAACCTCCACCTCCACAACGCCATGATCAAGGCGTACGCCCAGAACCACCAGCACCGCGACGCCGTCGCGGTCTACATCCGCATGCTCAGGTGCCCCACGTCCCCTCCGGATGGTCACGCCGGCGGCGACCGGTTCACGTACCCGTTCCTGCTCAAGGCCTGTGGCGGAACGGCGGCGCTTGAGCTGGGAAAGCAGGTGCACACGCACGTGGTGAGATCCGGGTGCGACTCCAGTGCCATCGTTCAGAACTCCCTGATCGAGATGTACACGCGAGCCGGCGACCTGGCGCTCGCGCACAAGGTGTTCGATGAAATGCGGGAAAGGGACGTGGTTTCCTGGAACATGCTTATATCGGCACACGCGCGGCTGGGCCAGATGAGGAAAGCAACAGCATTGTTCAACTCCATGCCTGACAAGACAATTGTTACATGGACGGCGATGGTTTCTGGGTACACGACGGTCGGGGACTACCCGGGCGCCGTCGACGCGTTCAGGTCGATGCAAACGGAAGGCTTCGAGCCGGACGACGTGAGCATCGTCGCGGTGTTGCCGGCATGTGCCCAGCTGGGAGCTCTGGAGCTAGGCAGATGGATATACGCCTACTGCAAAAGGCACGGCATGCTGACAAGTACACACATCTGCAATGCGCTAATGGAGATGTACGCCAAGTGCGGGTGCATCGACCAAGCGCTGCAGCTGTTCGACGGCATGGCCGACAAGGACGTCATCTCGTGGAGCACGGTGATCGGCGGCCTCGCGGCGCACGGGAGAGCGCACGAGGCCGTCTGGCTGTTCACCGAGATGGAGAAGGAAGGAAAGGTGAGGCCTAATGTCATCACCTTCGTCGGGCTCTTGTCAGCCTGCTCCTACGCCGGGCTCGTCGACGAAGGGCTGAGCCACTTCGACCGGATGAACGACGTCTACGGCGTCGAGCCCGGCGTCGAGCACTACGGCTGCGTCGTCGACCTCCTCGGCCGGTCGGGACAAATCCGGCGCGCGCTGGACTTGGTGCGCGACATGCCGGTGCCCGCCGACGCGAAGGTCTGGGGCTCGTTGCTCAGCGCGTGCCGGAGCCACGGCGACGTCGACACGGCCGTGCTGGCCGCCGAGAGGCTGGTCGAGCTGGAGCCGGACGACGTGGGCAACCTCGTCATGCTGGCCAACGTGTACGCCGCGGCGAGGCGGTGGAGCGACGTGGCGAGCACGAGGAAGGCGATACGGAGCAGGAGCATGAGGAAGACGCCGGGGTGCAGCCTGATCGAGGTGGGCAACGTGGTGAGGGAGTTCGTCGCCGGAGAGGGTCTGAGCTCTGAACTTGGAGGCCTTGCTGGCGTTTTGGACATCTTGGCCTCTCACCTTGCAGACGACGAGGAGGATATAGATTTCGCTGATTCGGATTGTACGGTTTATGCAAATCTGGCAAACGATTGATGACAAATTGGCAATCACATATATGAAATGAGAGGGGGAAAAATAAGCAGGTTATTTTCAGATGAGCGGTTTGGTTCTTTCAAGTTCTCTGACAAAAGGGGCGGACTCTCTAGCACTTTGAGGAAAACGTAAAAATACGGCCCTTTACAATTGGAGGCCTGATATTGTGCAGGCCGGATACAACAGCCTGCATTGTTCACTCTATATGGGCCCACTAATATATAAGTAGAGTTTTCTCTCTCCGTTTTATATTAATCAACACAACATCATCAAGTTGTATCAAACTTTATCCCTTTAATTAAGGTCCTGTTTATTAGAGCTTATGAGCCAACTTATAGCAAAATTCCTAAGTCCAAATAAGCAGGTGGTTTTTTCATTGGGCTTTTTTAAAGTCATAAATCATTCTCACACCGTTAATCCGAAAGTTAGGTTTGAATAGCTTTTCTTTGGCTGGTGAATGCACTCCTCGACGCAGGGTTTACCTTATCGTTTGGGCCGAGGTTACCGCCACCCCGCGGTAGCGCGATAACCACGATAATTATCTAAAATCGCACAAAAATCACATCCAAAATTTCGAATTCAAAACTTGGCAATTTCGCGGTTTCACCGCGGTTACCGCATGGTTTACCACGATATTCGCACGGTTATCACGGGCTGTGTAGCTGAAATCATGTAAATGGAAAATAAATAAGGAAAAAATACGGTTGAATATGTGTAGAAAACTAGAAATTGAGAATAATTGAAAGAATATGTAGGATACTTAAGGCCCAATATTGTCTTCCTTTTTCCATTTTGTAAACTATTTTCGGTTTTGCCCTCAAATTTGAATTTAGCTTACTCTATTTCAAAAAAAAATTCTTCACCATTGGCAAGTACAAATCAAGAACTACATCCATGATTTTTTAAAAAAAAGTTTTCCGGAATTTTGAATTTAGTCAAAATTCATCCAAACCATATCGACGGTTTCCCCTACCGTACCTCCATGGTAAGCGCGATTATCGCTTGACGGTGCACGGCGTCGATTTCCAGGTGCACCCACCTTTTCTTCTTCCCCTCTTTTCCCCTTCCGGATCGTCTTTTCTCATCGAAGCCACTGTTTTCTCTCCGGACTTGCCCAATGCGTGGCTCGGAGCAGTGGCGCCGCAGTCCCCAAGCTGAGGCGCAACAAGACCACCGTGACCTATGCAAGCATGGCAAGACGTCGCGAAGCCCTGGTCCCACTGTTGGAATTAATGAATAGGCCTTAGCCCACTCGAAGATAAATTCTTTGGAAAATCACAAAAGCCCACCTCATGGGATGGCATGCATGTGGAGTTTAGTACCACCTTGCTTATTCTAGGAGAGGGGAACCTCCTTAAAAGGGAGGATGCCCTCCTAGCCACTTGAAACATGTGTGGTGGAGAGAAGAGGGGGAACACGCGTGCTCGCTCGCTCGCTTGGCAGGGCGCTACAAATCCGGATTCGTTTTTGTTTTGGAAACGTTCCAAAAAATCCGGTGCGTGCAAATGGTGTGGAGTCCGGATAAGTTACGCGCGACTTATCCGGTTCGGTTACGCGCAGTGGAGATCGTGCGGGCGCCCTGATCAAGCGACCTTTCTCTATATAAACCGACCCGCCGTCTTCACGCAACACACGTGAAATCAATCTAGGGTTTGCCTCCTACTCTGTGCTGCGCCGTCGCTCGTAGATTACTCCATCCCGCTCGCCGGCGTGCACCTGCGATCGGGAGAGCAGATCTCCGGAACCTCTGCCTTCGACGTCCTGCACCGGGAGAAGGCGGCAATAAGGTTTTTGGGAAGCGCTTTGCGCGACTGCTCCCTGTTCGTCCGCGACGGTTCATCTTCCTCTTCGCTCGCGTGCTGCGTGCCTTCGTAGACGCCTGCGAAAATTTTCGACCGAGCAGCCGGTCTTTCCGCCACCTCGGTACGTGTTCAATATATTGCGTATATTTGATCTGTTCATATTATATTGTGTAGTTTACATGTATAGATCTAATAATGCGGTCATGCTAGTTTTCATCTGTAATGTCATGATTTATTTATGGAATAGATTAAATCATTATATGCCTATAATCTCAACACCCACTGCCATGGAAGCTCAGCTCCGATGTGGATGCTTGAGACCACTGGCCACCGTGGTGCATTGGGCATGGCCTTATAGCTCATCGCTCTCGTTCATTCGGTTTGCGAACAGCAAATAGCATCTGCAAATTTTCCTTTGACGTAAAAGGCAGCTGCTCCGCCTCTGTTAGAACTTAAGAAAAAAAAAATCGATTGGTAGTCAGTTTTTAGAATCTGAACAAACTGAATTTTTTTTTCTAATTTCTAGTTTCTAATTTATTTTCTAAATTTTGCAACTACAGTTTCTTAAAATATGGATAGGAAGTTAAAATGTTTTGAGGAGTTTTTATTTTGGGAGAACTTACAACTGTCAGAAGCTCCCAAAAGGCTTTAGTAGGTCTGTTGATAATTACTACTCCCTCCGGGCTAATAATACTTGTCGTTTTGAACAAGGGTGAAGTCAAACTTTAGAATATTTGATTATGAATCATTTTTAAAATATTTATCTTTCAAATATGGTGACTACATGTATAGATTAGTCTTAAAAAGTACTTTAATAAGATCATATATTTGCTAACAAATTTATACATATTATAATGAAAAATAGTGTTCAAAGTTGTTTTTTTGGAGACCGTGCCCTTGTCCAAAACGACAAGTATTATTAGCCCGGAGGGAGTATACGAGAAAATATTTTCATCTTTTAAGGGATTAAATATCTCCACGTTTTTTGATGCTATTTAAATAGCTATTAAGATGTTTTTTTAAAAAAAATAATGTGATAGATAATATGATATATATTACTCGACAAACATATGCAAGTCTAATTTAACTTATATAAGTAGGAACAAACTATTCACACCCTACTACTACGAGGATTTTTCCGTGAGGATGAAATCGATTTTCGCGTGCGGAAGATTCGACCGTCTGGAAGAAATCGTCTGCGAAAATGCACGATTTTTTTGTGCGAGTGACGCACCCGCACGCGAAAATCGATTTTCGCGTGCGGGGGCTTAAGCCGCCCGCACGGGAAAATAAAAAATCGAAACAAAAAAAAAGAAAAAACAAACCCTAACCCTAATCCAGCCGCCGCCGCCGGCACCGCCACCCTAGCCGAGGCGCGCCGCCGTCGCCCCCGTGGTTGCCGGCGACGGATCCGCCGTCCGTTACCTTCACCGACGCCGGATCCGCTGCCCGCGCGCTCCCGTCGCTGCCGGGGAGGAGAGGGGAGAGGAGGAGCTGCGCGGGTCCCGTCGTCGCCGCCGCCTGCGCCCGCCGCCCCCATGCCTCACCGGCCCTCTGCTGGATCTGCAAGGGGAGCCGAGGGGGGAAGGGAGGGGCCGCGCGCCGCCTGCGCCCGTCGCCACCATGCCTCCCCTCCGCCTGTGACGGATGCAAGGGGAGGGGCCGCGCGCCGCGCTGTCCGCCGCCGCCGCCTACGCCCGCCGTCCGCCGCCGCCACCGCCCCCATGCCTCCCCTCCACCGGCGCCGGATGCAAAGGGAGGGAGGGGAGGGGCCGCGCGCCGCGCCGTCTGCCGCCGCCGTCTGCGCTCGCCGCTGCCAAGGAGGAGGGAGAGGGAGAGGGAGATGGGAGGATGGGGAGGAGGAGAGTGAGAGTGAGAGGGAGGATGGGAGGATGAGAGGGAGAGGGAGTGGCTGCACGCCCGTGAGGTGGAGAGGGAGAAGATAAGGATGCCAGCCTGTGGTGGGCTATTTTTGTGTACGTGTCACTTAACAGGCCCGCACGCGAAAATAACCTGTTAAATGACGCGCACACGAAAATAGATTTTCCTGTGCGGGCGACGCTCTGATGCCCGCTCCTCATTTTTCTCTGTGCGGTTGTACTTATGGGCCGCCTGGAAACAAACTAGTATGGTGTCTAGGAAAATCTTTGTCGTAGTAGTGACATGTTTGTTATTTTTTTCATACTTGTATATATCGAATTTGAATTTCATATTTGTGTAGCGATATATATGTCACATATTGATATATCTTATCAAAGTTTTAATGCTTGTTTGAAATGTTATGCATAAAATGAGATGATGTCCCCCCTCAATGAACAAAAGTCCACCTCCGAAATGCACTTGTAACTTTTGTAAGGGCGGTACAGAACATGCCAGAAGAAATGCATGCATGTTTGTGCTCCGAGTTGAACCTTGAACATATAGTTGCATGCGCATGTCAACTTCCTTTTCCAGCTTTTATCGACCAATATAAAATGCTAGTCGACTACGAGATATGCATAAGGAAGAAATAAATTTTTATGTATCGTTATGCATGGTACGTTCATGGCTGTAGTTTTTGGTGCGCTCTTTGCTGTTCCGCAACGCCGCCGAACGAGATGCTGGTTTGTCAGTATTCGAGTGGTTACTGGAAACAATGTGATCATGAGATGATAATCTTACATGGCATGGCCACATGGAATTTGGACGAGATGACAACCCTGATCGAGTTGGCTTAGCTACCTCCATCCTTAATTAGGTTCTTATATTTTAAGATGAAATGCGATGTTTAGCTAGTTGAAGGATTAATTTTGGTGCAGTCTACAGTTCAAGTACGGCGGTACATAGATAACTCGCGAGAGGCCCAAACAAGAACAAAGTTTTTTTTTAGAAAAAATTTAAGGAAATATTTATGTATTTTAATACAAAACAATACAGTACTTAGATTAGTGATTTGTAATAAATTATATAAAATAAATTATGGAAAAGTACACCGAAGGTCCCTCAACTTGTCATCGAGTCACAAAATCATCCCCCAACCGCAAAACCAGATATCGGTCGTCCCTTAACTAATCAAAACCGGTCACAATAGGTACTTTGATGGTTTTGATCCCGGTTTGGTTCTATGTGGCGGCTTAGTCAGCGTGAGACCCACGTGGGCCCCACGAGTCCGGATGGCACGTCATCTATCTCTTTCCTCCTCTCTCTCTCTTTCACTCTCCTCTCCTCTGGGCAAGCCGGCGGCTGGAGAGGAGGTCACCGGGTGAGGCGGGAGAGGAGGAGAGTGTCGCCGCGACGGCGGCTGGCTGCGGCCGTTCCATGGAGGCCACATCCCGCGTCAGCAACACCAACAACCACCCGGCGGCGACGGCGAACCTTCTCGTTGGCGGCGACGACGCGGCCGTCCACGGGGAGACAGCCGCTGCTCGCCCGTGCTGCCGCCAGCTTCTCCTCCGCCTCCCGCGCTCGGGACGGCGACAGCCGCAGCGCACGCATCAGCCGGTCGCAGCGTTTCCATCTCAATGTTTCAGTTCCCGACAAACGCTGGGATGGCGAGCACAGCGGCAGCAACAACAAGTGAGCAGTTCCCACCGGCGGCCATGGGGCCCGTCGCCGCTGCGCCGTTGCTGGAAGAACCGTCGTACTGGGCAGTGACAACCTCGAAACAGCTGACGATGCATACGACGAGCAGCACGAGCGCAATGACCGGCTTGGAAGAAGAGCGCTCCATCTTGTTCTGCTTTCGCTTGCATGTTCAAAGTTCAGAACTCAGAGCAGAGACGATACACTTGAGCATTTTGCTCAAAATGGCAGGATTTTTATAGAATTGCTTCAGGGAATTATCTGTGAATGTTGACATGGTAAACATAGTACATATGCACACAAGTTTGTCCTTTTCTCTCGATCGTGTTCTGCTCGCCAGGTTGAGTTGAGGTTGATCTGGACGGCTGGTTTGTTGCTGCATACTCGTCTGAGAAGTTCAACAAGCCCTTGATTTTTATTGCTGGTGTTCCTTCCTTTCTGCCTGTACCCCAACCACCCCGCTCTCCTCGAGGCGCAGCAGCCGTTCGCCTAAAAGGAAACCAGTACTAACCTCGGGATGGTGATGGCCGCGACCGCCTGATGCGTGCGCTGCGGCTGTCGCCGTCCCGGCGCGGGAGGCGGAGGAGAAGCTGGCGGCGGCCGGGGGCGAGCAACGGCTGTCTCCCTGTGGACAGCCGCATCGTCGACACCGACGAGAAGGAGAGCATCCCCTCATTCGCCGTCGCTGCCGGGTGGTTGTTGGTGTTGTTGGTGCGGGATGTGGCCTCCATGAAACGGCCGCCTCCCCACTGCGGCCGCCGCCGGCAGCCGTCGCAGCGCCGCTCTCCTCCTCTCCCGCCTCGCCCCGGCTGCCTCCTCCCCAGCCGCCGAACAGTTTGCCTAGAGAAGAGGAGAAGAGAAGAAGAGAAGAGAGAGAGAGAGAGTGAGAGGAGGAAGGGAAAGAGATAGCGTGGCATCATCATATGTGGGATCCATGTGTGTCCCATGCTGACTCAGTCACCACGTATGACAAAACCAGGGTCAAAACCACCGAAGGATCTATTGTGACCGGTTTTGATTAGTTAAGGTACAGCCGATATCTGGTTTTGCGGTTCGGGGACGATTTTGTAGCTCGATGACAAGTTGAGGGACCTTCGGTGTACTTTTTCCAATAAATTAATCCATCCGTACTCCATTGATAACCACAATATCTAGCCCAAAGAAGCGGCCCAAAGCCCATTGAACGAGCAGAACCGCGTCGCTGGAGGGATTCAGGCTGCTCAGCGGAGAGCTCCAGGTACAGACAAGTCGGACTCCTACGTGGAGCCAAGTGGCTCCTCCGAACCACTCACACGTTGACAAGTCACCGACTCCCTGGCCACCTCACTGCCACGTGGAGCCTTCCCGTGAGCCTACGAGTCGCCGTTAGTGGAGGCTCAACTACTGAGCCCAAATTGCTGGCTCCTGATGGGACCGATTAGGTGCGCATCGCGACGCTGATTGATCCCCTTTGCAGAGTTACGTCCTTGTTAAGCACATCGGAATATGGGGAGATAAATTGCGGGTTAAGATTTGGCCATAAAAAACGCTGGATTAAGCACACTCCACTTTATGGATATGCTCGGTGTGTTTATCATTGGTGTGATTGTGTATAGTGGCGAGCATCCGTTTGACATTTCTTGTCTTCATCAGTTTTGTTAAATCGATCGGTGGTTGTATTGTTCATGTGTTCAGCTGATGACACTGACACCAGATGTTTCTTCTCTCTTTCAAGATACTTTTTTTTTGGCATCAGCAGTTGGAGAGCAAAACATATGACGGGTTTGTTATTGTGCTAGTGCTAAGGTCAATTGAGTAGCTGGCGTTGCAGGAGATAGCATGATTGCATTAATTTGGTCCATTAGTCGCAACTGCCATGCATGATTCTGCACCTTGAGTCCTTGACGGCTTGATGTTCGTCTCTGTCCATCTATTCATTATTCTCCTTTTTATGCCCCCTTGACGACGTGCATCTTATCTTACCCCCAGGCCAGCATAAGCCACACCAGCATTAGGATCATTTTTAATCGGCCGACTAAACAATATTACGAAGACAGCGACCTCCAAATATCTCTGACTAATTTATTCCCTGCAACATTCCATTCCGTTAACTTGCACTCCTGTCAATTTCTATATATGCCTCTGCATGCTTTACCGCCCACGGTACAAAGTAGCTAGTTCACTCTTAGCTAGCTCCGACGTGATCGATCGCGCGAGCTAGCTAACTAAGCTGCTTCGTCGTCGTCGCTCGCTCATGGACGCGCCGCGGCTGCACCATTCCGCCAGGGCGCTCCTCCTCGTGGCGCCGAGCGCGTCTCCCGCGCCGGCGGCGGTGCCACCAGGAGTCGCCGGCGCTCTGCCGGTCGCCGAGAATGGCCGCGGCGGTCCCCTCGCCGTGTCGTCGCTCAACACCAACACCATCGTCCTGCTCGCGCTCCTCGTCTGCGGCCTCGTCGCCGCCGTCGCGCTCCACGTCGTACTCCAGTGCGCGCTCCGCGTCACGCGGCGCGCGTGCTACGGCGCGGAGACCGCCGCCGCCGCCGCTGCAGGAGGAGGAGGAGAAGGAGGCCGCGCGAGGCGGGGTGGCGGAGGCGGGGGCAGGAAGCGGACGCCGCCGCTGTCGAAGACGATCCCGCGCGTGGCGTACACGGAGGGGCTCGAGCTGGCCGGGTCGTCGCGGTCGGAGTGCGTGATATGCCTCGCCGAGTTCGCGCGCGGGGAGCACGTGCGCGTGCTGCCGGGCTGCAACCACGGCTTCCACGACCGCTGCATTGACCGGTGGCTCGCGGCGCGGCCGACGTGCCCCACGTGCAGGCAGGCGCCGTTCGCCGCCGCCGCCGCCGATCCCGTCGCGCCGCCGGACCCTGCACCGGCGGCCGTGCAGGTGGTGCGAGTCATAGTACTCACTAGTCAATAGCTGGTACCCATGGTGGCATACTGGCATGAGCTGCTTAGACGTGGTCGATCGCCTCGTGTGCAGCGGCCGCGCCACTGTGTCCACAGCTAGTATACAGTGTGTGTTGCCGACTTGGCGAGTTGGCGTGTGTCGCCGAATCGGCAAACGTTTCGAAGCCGTTACACTTGGTAAAGTGGGCGATGGATGTGTAGGGGTGTACAAGTGTTCGGGCCTATGCATATTGCACGCAGGAGCAGGACACGATGGTACGAAGCCGAATCGAGGCGAAACGGGAGTAATCTGCCCTGCCGGGTTCCCTGCGGACTGTCAGCCTTTGACGCTGTGAGTCTGTGACAAGCACTTTTTTTTTTTAGCAAAACAGACCATGTCCTGTGAGATGGTGACAAAGCACAAGTGTTACACATTTTTCCCTTTGTATATGTGCATGTAAATTTTGCATTGTGAATGCTATCTCAGTCTGTTTTCTGGGTCCTTAACTCCTAATTGTACATACGTGAGTTGTCACCCGTTTACGGGACCATACAGAACTTAGTACAGTACTAGTATTTTTACATATCTGCGTGTACACAAAACATATGTTTTGCCAAATAAATGCTTCATATTATACAGTATATATTGTGCCATCCGTGTTGAAGACTTATTTCAAACGAAGAAAGCTGGAACCTCGCTAAAATAAAATCTGAAAAGGAAACTGAGTTCATAAGCAAAGCCCATGTACCAACCGAGTTCATGACTGTATGATGGTATCTGGGCCGTGCACCGTGGGCCTGTAAACCTACGGAGCCCGTAGTGCAAACGATACAGGCAGAACGATTGGAACAGTCCACTCTGACATCCTTTAAAATAAGTCTAATAATCTAAGTTGTATTTCTTAATCGTAATACCGGATATATTGACCCTTCAACTATAAAAACCGGTGTAATTTGATCCTCTCGATTGTTTTAGGGGCGATTTTCGTTGACTTAGCTTGTTGACCTTGTCTAATCGGCTGGGCTTTTCCCACGCTATAACACAAGCTCCAACGGGATGGCAGTCGGCGGTGGATCAACGACATTCAGTAGCTTGGAGCATTCTTCCCCCATACTGCCACATGAGCTCAAGCCAGGATTGTAGTCGGTGGCAGCAGCGACGCGACGAGGAGCAATGACGAGAGGACGACGTCGTAGATGCGGAGTCAGGGGAGAAGCGACGGGGATGCCTATGAGCGCGTGGAGAAAGGCGAAAGGGCGAGGCGCAGGGTCAGGAGGCGTAGCAGGTGTTCGAAGCTGCTCGGCCAAGGCTAGATGGGTAGGGTGATGGTGTAGCCGGAGGCGGGAGCGATATGGCCAGGTTGGCCAAGTGGATGAGCGGCACGGTCACCTTTGCGGTGGACAAAGGCGTGGGATGGAGGTCCCCAGGCCCAGTGGTGCGCCACCTCATCACTGGATGTTGTTGTGTCACCGCCTTGCACCTCCATCTCATCCTTGCGTTCGATTTGGTGAGGAAGATGGCGCTCGGGTGTGTTAAGTCAAACAGGATCGTCCCACGCCTCCCACCGGCTAGGGAGGGAAGGGCCGAAGAGGAAAAGGATGGAGGAAGAAGGGAATGAAAGAGAGGATGAAATGTGGGTCTTGCATGTTAATTCAGTCGATTGGACAAGGTCAACAAGCCACATCAACAAAAAAATACCCTCAAAACTATAGATGGCCAAATGGGCCATCCACCCCAGCACGGCCTAGGCATGACCGGCCCTGGGATGAGGTCAGTTGGGCTGGCGCGGCCCGACCAACACGCGGGGCTGGATCGTGCCTATCCACAAGCTGCACCCACAGCCTAGTCACGGCATAATAAGACTTGGGTCATGCCTGGTCGGCCCGGCTTGAAGGCACGACAACCCATCGTGCTTTTCCATAGAATAAGTCTATTTTTTCTCTCGAAAAAAGTACGAATTACCCCCCCCCAACCACAAAACCGAGCATTCTTCACCCTCAACTATACAACCGGACAAATTACCCTCCTCGACCCAATCCGCGGTGGTTTTGGTCCACGTGGCGTACGCGTGGCAGTCTAGTCAGCACTCTATTTATAAAAAAATTGTGGAACCCACCTGTCATCTCCTCATCCTCTCATCCTCTCTCTTGTCTCTCTCACTCTTCCTCTATCTCAAACGGGAGGACGCGTGGCGGCGTGCGGGGGAGGACGTGGGCACGCGGCGGCGGCGGTGGGCAGGCGGTGGCGGCGACGCCGGGGAGGACGTGGCGGGCGGGCAGTGGCGGCAGGCCAGGGAGGACGCGGAGGCGGCGGCGGGTGACGTGGATGGAGCGCATGGCGGCAGCTACGGCTAGTGACGCGGAGGTGGCGACGGAGGGGGATAACGAGGACGACGATGAGGATGGCGACGGAGGAGTGGAGGATGATGGCTGCGGCGGCCATGGCGGAGAGGCGGAGCGCGGGGAGGACGTGGCGGCAGCGGCGGGCGGCGCCGAGGAGGTAGCGGAGCGTCGGGATGGGGGATGAGGAGGCGGCCGCTCGGCGCTGCTTCCCCACTCCCCTCTCTCTCTCTCTCTGTGTGTGTGTGGTGCCGTCGGGACAACGGGCACAGCGGGGGCGGTGCACCTCTGTCGCCATCCTCGTCGTCGTCCTCGTCATCCCCCGCCGCCGCCGCCTCCGCATCACCCACCGCCGCCGTGCGCTGCATCCTAGTCGTCGTCCTCCTCATCCCCCCTCGTCGGCGCCGCATGCCGCCGCCATGTCCTCCCCGGCGCTCCGCCACCGCCCGCCCGCCGCCGCGTCCTCCCCGGCGCCACCACCACTGCCCGCCCACCGCCACCGCCGCATGCCTACGTCCTCCCCCGCACGCCGCCGCGCATCCTCCCGTTTGAGAGAGAGGAAGAGTGAGAGAAGAGAGAGGATGAGAGGATGAGGAGATGACAGGTGGGTCCCACAAATTTTTTTTTATAAATAGAGTGCTGACTGGACTGCCACGCGTACGCCACGTGGACCAAAACCACCGCGGATTGGGTCGATGGGGGTAATTTGTCCGATTTGTATAGTTGAGGGTGAATAATGCCCGATTTTGTGGTTCGGGGGAGGGGGGGTAATTCAGACGACCGCGATAGTTCGGGGGGGGGGGTAATTCGTACTTTTTCCTTTTCCTCCCTCATCTCTTTTGGGCTGTGTCTTATATAGCTGGAACAAGTCTATTTTGTGTCCCTCTTTTCTTTGGGTTGTGTCTTATATGGCTGAGTTCAGTCTATTTTGTATCCCTCAACTATAGAAATTTTCTATGATCGTGCCGTGTCGTGCTTGGGCTGGGCCAAATGGCCGTGCTATGGGCCGGGTCGTGGGGCCTCAGGCTTTATGACTATATATACTCAAAACAACCAAGGAAGTTAAATTACATTGGTTTTAATACTTAAAGGGGTCAAAACATATGGTTTTGCGGTTGAAGGATTCAAGTCATATTGGACACATATTTAACGGAGTCAAAGTAGACTTTTCCCACAACAATTAAAGCTTTCTCTACCATGGGCTAAACGCCAAGTAAATCTACTACTTGAACTTTTTATATCAAGAAAGTGGTTATCTAACTCTCCATAAAAAATAGCATATACATATACTACGAATATAATAATCTAATATTAGATTAGACACACAACTAGTAATTAACCTAGATATATTATGGGTCTATTCAGATTGTAGTCAAAATAAACCTTGCCAACTTTTGGCAATGCCAAAATTTTAGCAAGATGACACTATTGTCAAAATTTTGGCAGGATTTCTTATATATTGATCAAATTTGGCAACAAACTAAATATAGGCATTTTTAGCAACTATGCTAAAAATTGGTATGGTTGAAAATGGCATCAAAGTGAACAGGCACTATATTTCTAAAAAGACTACGAAATTCATATTAAAGAGGCGAATGAATGATGATGAGTCAATAGCGAAAATGCTTCTATCCGGATGTCCGATCAAACATAAAAAAATCGGATGTCTGCGTGCATCTCCTTAAACCGTGTAATAAAATTAATCACAGTGCTCATCGCATTCCGTCATCGTTCTCCCTCTCATATTTATATTACGTAGGCATTTATCTCATGAAGTAGCCTATGTAACTGCTCTGACGTAAAGTAGCCCATATTCTCTCTCTCGTATGCCTCTACTACCACACATACTTGTACTCCTTAATGAATAACTTCAAATAATCTTATTTCACAAATTATTTATCTAATCCGTAATCTAAATATATCATTGTATTCACCGCAATTAAATATTCATAATAAGATCTCACTTAACTATATTTTGGTAATTTTTTTAAAAAGTTTTTTTTGTTGTAATGGCTTTTTTAGTTGTTGCAATAGGTATTTAATAATGTTTTAATAGGTCATTTGGAAATATTGCACAAGGTGTTTCAATAGCCCACGCAACGACATCTAACCAGACAAAACCAACCAATCGGTTTTAGTGAAACCGTTAGGTGTATGTTTGTGAAAATCAATCAGTTTCAACCTGTATCTATACGGTGTTGAACGAAAGTCGGCTTTTTTTCTTCTACATGTTTCCGATAAACCCGTGAGAGTCGGTTTTTGTGTTGAAAACGGAAAAGGTACCCTGGTCTGAGGCCACCGCGCTACAGGGGGCGAGCACGCGAGCTGCGAGCATCCGGCGCACCGCGCTGTGCGTGCGGCGTGGACTGGTAGCTCGGCCAGGCGCGCAGCCAGCTCGCCCAGCTCGCGGCGTGCCGTGCGAAAACTCGCCGGGAATGAAAAGGTTGGTAGGCCGGAGAGGCGGACGACGTCACCAGCCGCAACCGACGGCGCGGGCCGCACGGCTGCTGTCCAAATCGTCGGCCGAATCTCCCGCTGGCGCCGACGTGGACGTGCCGCTTCGGGCACCGAAAGTTCTTTTGGGCGGCCAGGTCGGAAGCCTTTTCTAGTTTTCCGGGGGGACCCCTTTCTGCTGTCCCGGCTCTCCAATTCCGGCGATGGACGAGTCCCGCACGCGTCCATCTGTGCGAGTTTGCGAGCCAGCACCACCACCCAACGTGTCCACTCACGGCTTACACGTGCCACGCCCATCAGGCCGCAGCCGTCGCTACGTGGCCGCGCTCATCTTTCCGCCCGTATTACACGTACGCAGTCGCACAGCAGCTTCATTACTGATCTGCAAAATAACGTAACGCAAAATCAATCAAATCTGCCTCGACTTTTTTTTTTCAGTCTTTCAGAAAATCGAAACCCCCGTTAGAGCAGGTACAGTAGCACCATAAATCAACTATAAACATATTTTTAAGAGATAAAATAAAATATAAGAGTAGCGGACTACAGATCTGCAGCATGAAATCCAAGACGTAATGTGTGTATGACAGGTAGGACTAGATATTAATAGTGTAATAAGTATTATTGTATGAATTAGCTATTATATTGACTATAAATAATTTAAAGATAGTAGTTGACTATACTATTAAACTTCCTCTTACTCGTATTTTCAACAAATTCTGTTTAAGAAAGGAAGATCGCAAATTTGTGGATCGCGAGGGATACGGTAGTAGATTGCGGGGGGCAAGGAGCAAAAATCACGAGTCCCCAAAACGTCGCACGCGGTAAGCCGCCGTTTTATACGGGGCGGCGTACTTTGCCTTGAGATGGACGCGTATAAGCCGGCGCCTCGCGTTTTCTTCGTCCGTCCACCGACCCAGCAGTGCACCTCCCGTTCGCCTCGCTCGCGAGCTCGCGTTACTTTACACCGCCGCCGCCGAGCTCTCCAGACTCCGGAGGAGGAAGCGATCGTTACACGTACGCCTCGTCAAGCAGAAGCAGGTGATCCTCCGCCCCTTCCGATCCCCTCGGTCCTCCGAGCTGTTCGATCTGAGAAGAAAAAAAAGAAAAATCTGCTGGATTATACTTTGCTTGCTCTAGGATTAATTCATCGCCTTATTATGGTTGATGATTTTATTTCCTTCGTAATTACTGCGTATGTTTTTCTCTCGGCTGTACCCGATGGAATTTTGGTAGTTGGTTTGGTGGTGTCCTGGTGATCCCCTTTGGAACAATCGAACATAATTCTTCAGGTTTATCGTGTTGTATTTAGTAACTGTTCGTGCCAGTAAGTACTGTGTAGTGATTGTGATTAGTGATATTTGCTCATGCATACAGGTTAGGTGAACTGGGTTTGCCGTCGTGGGGCATCATGATCTCCCCGTTGTTTAGAGAAATCAGCTGTAGCTTTTGCTTTTGTAGAGCTTACCCCTTTTTTTTTTGAACGAAACGAGCTTACCCCTTATCAGTTATCACCGTGGCTGTGAAGCTACAATTTCTTTCCCTGCCCTTTTATTATTAGTGTTATGATAAATTGATTGATGTTGAGATAGTTCTTGTGATGTGTCCTGATTTGAACTCTGCGTGTAAGCTGTGACATGTGTCCCCTATTTTTTTCCGCACCTCATCAAACTGGATAGGTTCAGGATAAACTATGTATTATTAAAAACGCCACCAAAACAAGTTGATGCTTTGGTTTGCTGCTCGGATGTAATGTGAACTTCCCAAAATCTTAATACAAAGATGCGCAACTCTTTTGCGCATTCTCGAAAGAAAAAAAAAACGCCATTGAAACAAGTTGATGCTTGGTATAGTTAATGTGCTTATACTCTGTTGTGCAATGTAGTGAATATACTAGTTAGCTGAAAATTGCATGATATACTTTCAACCTTGATGCTTCAATTAAATATATTCCAATCTGCTGGGCACCGATGATTTTTTTTTAAAAGATTGTACTCTGGACATCTCAAGCAGTATATATTAATACATGTAGTGTTTATGTTATTAGTTTACTTGGTTTTGCCCAGCGACTTCTAGCCTTCTGGGTACTTTTGTCAGAGCCTAACAAGTGATGTGTAATTATCACGCATTTCTGTTGCAGAACATCTGAAGAATGGCTGACGAGGATATTCAACCTATTGTGTGCGACAATGGCACTGGAATGGTCAAGGTGGTTATCCTGAACTTAGTCTTTTCAGCAAAGCGGTATGTTCCTCATAGCTTAACGGATCACCTTCCTAATGTTTAACAGGCAGGTTTTGCTGGTGATGATGCACCAAGGGCCGTCTTCCCTAGCATTGTAGGGAGACCACGTCACACCGGTGTCATGGTTGGGATGGGCCAAAAGGATGCCTATGTGGGTGATGAAGCTCAGGCAAAAAGGGGTATCCTGACTCTAAAGTACCCAATTGAACATGGAATTGTCAATAACTGGGATGACATGGAGAAAATATGGCACCACACCTTCTACAATGAGCTTCGTGTTGCACCTGAAGATCACCCTGTATTACTAACTGAAGCCCCTCTCAATCCCAAAGCCAACAGAGAGAAGATGACACAGATCATGTTTGAGACCTTCAATTGCCCAGCAATGTATGTCGCAATCCAGGCTGTTCTATCCTTGTATGCTAGCGGTCGAACAACTGGTATGATTATTACCTTTGCAATAGATCGTGTTAAAATTCAATGTGTTGGGGGGCAGTGACACTTCTTTTATCTGCAGGTATCGTGCTTGACTCTGGTGATGGTGTGAGCCACACTGTTCCAATATATGAAGGATATACGCTTCCTCATGCTATCCTCCGGTTGGATCTTGCTGGCCGAGACCTCACTGACCATCTCATGAAGATTCTCACAGAGAGAGGGTATTCCCTCACAACAAGCGCTGAGCGGGAAATTGTCAGAGACATAAAGGAGAAGCTCGCTTATGTCGCCCTTGATTATGAGCAGGAGCTGGAAACTTCTAGGAGCAGCTCCTCTGTTGAGAAAAGCTATGAGATGCCTGATGGCCAAGTAATTACCATTGGGTCAGAAAGGTTCAGGTGCCCTGAGGTTCTGTTCCAGCCATCTCTTGTTGGTATGGAATCTCCTGGCATACATGAAGCTACATACAACTCCATCATGAAGTGTGATGTAGATATAAGGAAGGACCTGTATGGCAATGTTGTCCTAAGTGGAGGGTCTACCATGTTTCCTGGAATTGCTGATCGTATGAGCAAGGAGATCACTTCCCTTGCTCCTAGCAGTATGAAGGTTAAAGTGATTGCACCACCAGAAAGAAAATACAGCGTCTGGATTGGTGGTTCTATTTTGGCTTCTCTTAGCACTTTCCAGCAGGTAGGGTTTTTTTTACTCAACTCTGGAAGTTGCACATGATGCTGGTGATGTTTTGTCTCAATTAAAAATGTTCTATTTATTTTTAGATTAGAAGATTTCACTTTTTTATTAGTAGTTTATCCATATAATCTCGATTCAATTTATACTAGTAGGTTTTTCACTGCCCATTTTAGATAGTCCTATTTGAATTCTTAAAAAGAAGTTGAGTACACATCTGTGCTTGCGAGCGTTTTAGGAAATTGTCTAGTTAGCGTCCAATACTGCACAAATGGCCAAATCTCCATGTCCTATGTTTATCACATAAAAGAGGTTAATTCTCCAATAGATGCCGCAAATTGCCGCCAGTGTTATGATTTGCTTTTGCAATAGAGACAAACATGATCACATTACAGGAAGTATTTGTGCTTGAAGTATTAGTATGTGCTGAGATTGCTTTTGCAAGAGACATAGAACCGGAAGTGTAATAGCTGCTGTCATAACTGTATTTATTGCACATATCCTCAGAATCACATCTGACAACGATAACATTTGTTTCACAGATGTGGATCTCCAAGGGCGAGTATGATGAATCTGGTCCTGGCATTGTCCATATGAAGTGCTTCTGAGCTTCTTGCCAAGTTTGTAGAGCGGTATTTCAAGATGTCGAGAAATCTCAGTTGGTTTATGTATACAAGGAGACCTGCTTTTGCAGATAAATATATACTTGTACTCTGATAGTTGAGATATGCTTTTAGCGTTGGGCATGGCAAACCAGGATTCCTCAGAACGTTGAGACTATCTTACCATGAAGAGAAAGAGGGGCCCAGGAAAAGAAACAAAAAAAACACCTGATGACCTGAAGATACATAAACTTGAGCAGTCTATGTCGTAAAACCTGTTTGTTCTTTTGGTGTGGAATTACCTCGGTTGTTTACCTGCTGTATGAAATAATGAAGCAAACCATATATATTCGCATGCGCTAGTACATCAATGTAGTTCTGTTTACGTCTATTTTCATTTGGCTTCGGGCTCTCAGCTGATGCCTGATGCCTGATGCCTGTGGCCTGCGCTCCAGTGCTCCCTCACAACCTGATGCAATCTCACCATGGAAAGGGGAACAAGGACTATTTAGCAAAAAAACAGATCGTAAATATACTCGCACCCAGCACTCAATTTTGCAGATCGATTTTGAAAGTCAGGATTTCTACCGCTCTATCCAAGAAACAACTCAAACAAAGGGACTATTCTGTAAATACGCGCGGGGGAACCAATCAGAGCGCAGGACCGCCTCACCCCACGGATCGCTCCCCTCAACGATCCGCGTGCACCCCGCGAAACCCCATCCACACCGTCCATCCTCCCCCACGGATCGCCCCCCACGATCCGCGTGCACCCCCCGCGAAACCCCATCCGCGCCGTCCAATACCCCGCAAATCCGACGCTCCAAACCCATCCCGCGCCCGAGGATGAAACCCACCGCGCCGCCCTCCTCCGAAAACTCAAAATTTCGCCGATCTCCCGCTCACCCCCACCGCCTACTTAAACCCCCCGTCGCCCATCGCCATCCTCACCTCACTCCAATCCCCCAATTCCCAAATCCTCCAAGCTCTCGCGCTTCCGATTCCAAGCAGCAGCAGCCAGTCCAGTTCCCAAATGGCCCGCACGAAGCAGACGGCGAGGAAGTCCACCGGCGGCAAGGCGCCGAGGAAGCAGCTGGCGACGAAGGCGGCGCGCAAGTCGGCCCCGGCGACCGGCGGCGTGAAGAAGCCCCACCGCTTCAGGCCGGGAACCGTCGCGCTCCGGGAGATCCGCAAGTACCAGAAGAGCACGGAGCTGCTCATCCGCAAGCTGCCGTTCCAGCGGCTGGTGCGGGAGATCGCGCAGGACTTCAAGACCGACCTCCGCTTCCAGAGCTCCGCCGTCGCCGCGCTGCAGGAGGCCGCCGAGGCCTACCTCGTCGGGCTCTTCGAGGACACCAACCTCTGCGCCATCCACGCCAAGCGCGTCACCATCATGCCCAAGGACATCCAGCTCGCCCGCCGCATCCGTGGCGAGAGGGCGTAGAATGCCTCCGTTGCCAGATCTGGAGTTGTAGAGTTAGATCAGGTGTTACCAGTTTTATTTTAACCTGTGTTCCTTATCGTAGTGGTGTTCTTGTGTTATGCACCGTCTGATGTTACCATCTCATTATCATCAGCAATGGAAAATGTTGTTATCCGTGTCTCTAATTTTTGTTCTTAGTAAAATGGTTCTGAGCAGGTCGCACTATCTGCGGTACTAATCAGAAATGTTTATTAGTCTGAAGTCTCTGATCTCATAGCAAGTTTATTATTCCGAGCTTCTCAATTTGCAAGGCGTATTACTGTCTAAAATGATGTCTCCTAAACTATTTCGTTGTGGAGTTTATAGCAATATTCAGTATACTGTTCTCAGCCACTCTCTTCAGAAATGCAGAGCAGGGGGCGTAACTGAACAGATCTGCTGCTACCTGTAGAGTAGTAGATTGCTAAATAGGGAGTACCAGATCTTTTTGAAGGTGTGGGTCGCATGACTTGATTCTGACAAGCAAAAATTGCAATTTAACATGGGAGAATATTTCAACATTGAATCAGTTTCAAGGAAGACAATGGGCAGTTTTGGATTGCTACCAAACTTTGCTCTACCAATATTTTGGTAGTCTAAATAGTACCCAACATTTGTTTGGATTGGTGCCAACATTTTGGTAATGCCCATTCTAAATTTGGTAGTAATCTAGAAATTTCTTCACCATGATATCATAATTTGGCTAGATTTTGGTAACAAACCAAATAAGATGAATACACATTTATTCTACCAAATAATTGGTAGCGCCAAAACTTACCTATGTTTTGGCACTACCAAAAATTTCCTAATCAAGTACTCTAATCCTCAAGCCTCAGCCACCAAGCAGTCAAGGCCAGTGAGTCTGAAACTCTGAAACTTGTTGAAATATCATGCGAACACAAATTATGCCCTTCTCTGAAGTGTCTAAGCGACTACTATCCATTAGTGCTAAATGGTGTCATTTGTCTTGAAGGAAATCGAGTCGGTTTGCAAAATTGTCCAGTTAACAAAAACTGTCCCACAACGGTTTCGTTGATAACCTTGATTATCACTTTGTTATCCATGAAAACCGGGGAAATTTTCTTTTCCTGACTATAGCCTTTTAAGCTGTAGACTAATAATTTTTTTCTACTCTATCAATATGAAATGTCGCATTGTACTAATACTGTACGTGTTGGTTTAAAAAAAACAAAAACCGGTGAAATTCAAACAAATTGTGCAAAAAGAAAAATACTTTGTACATTTAAACATGTCCGATTTCCCGAGCCGTTTCTCGGCAAAAAATGAATTTGAATATGTACCTGCTCGATAAGTCCAACAACCGCAAGGACTTTTAAACAAGATCTATATGTATTTTTTATCCTCGAATTTGTTATCCATATGGCAGATGAGTAATGACTACAGACTACTCCTAACCTGTCGTTGCATCATGTACCGCTGTCCGCCGATGAGCAATGACAACGTGGCAAACAGCCCATGACATCAGCGTTAAGTACAGCCGTTGCGTTTCTTCTTTTCTCAAGCTATCTGAATCTTATCTGCAATCCTGCTGTCCTACCTCCTTGTGACATGTCAAAACCTCATCATCCTATCCTCAGTACATTAGTCAACTGAATGCAATGCGTTTACATGGACGCTGTAATGTATTTAGTCCGTAGTGACGGTTACTTGTAAGGTTTTAATTGCATGTGTTAAACCGTGGAAACATTTCAAAGGTGTGTGGGGTTGTTTGGTTCATTATCACAATTTGCCTCACCATACAACAACTCAAGTTAACCGGATTTGATTAAATTAGGTATCTGTTTGGTTCGTGCCACACTTATGGTAAGATTTCTTCACTATGATGTGTTATTGGCATATAAAAGTGTGGCAAGCTTGCTCTTTTATGGTTGAAGGGTGGCTTTAATTTTATTGGCCACATGTTAAACATGTTAGCTAAATGAAGTATGACAAACTTTGACAATGTCGATACGCCAACCAAATAATCCCGTAATCCAATATTATCTCTTCGCTAAGTACGTTGATAAAGTGCAATGAATTGATTTGGTCAGAACGGCAGTTCATTGGCCAGAATTGCCATACTAGCATCGTTCAGCTGTCAGCTCAATTTCTCTACCAGTATCATTTACTACTCCGTAGTTGACTGTAGAGCATCAGATTATTTGACATTATTATTGTCGACAAAGAGATTAGTACAAGTCAGAGATTTGGACATCAGATCAACTCGTTTGGGTTAGTGAACTTTTGATGTTATTACGGTACCAATTTTTCCTTCTTTTTTTTAGCATTAAAAGTTAGTGGTAGAACGCAATAATTAGAGTATATATTTATGTTGCTTATCTTTTTTTCGTAGGACTCTGCAATTTGAGACAACGCGAATAATTGGATGAGTTCGCATCGAGCCACCCACAGCAGGTCCAGGAATATACGTCAGGCAAAAGAAGCTTTTCACCCTAAACCGACCGGAACCGCACAAAAACGTCCCGCTCCGTGGCTGCCAAAGGCCAAAGGTGCCCCGTGCCATCCACGCCCACGCTTCAACTGGACCGTCCTTACCTGCACAGGTTGGAATGGAAGAAGGGGAGGTGATCAGATCACCAATTCACGACACCAACTAGCCCCAAGTCACTAGTTGGCCTTCTTCCCCTCTTTCCGGCGCGCGTTTGACCGGACGCGGCTTGCCAACGAGCAAAGCAATCCCCCGTATCGACGCATCACATATCCGCACCGGCACCAACGCCCATGCAGCGCATACGTGGAATCCGCACCCCTCCCGTGCCCGCTTCCCCTGTACTCCTATATTTCATCATCCACGAACCGCGGACCGGATGCCCACTCCGCTCGCTTAACACACCTGCCCGAATTCGTCCAATCCATCTGCACCCGCGCCCGTGTCCCTCTCGCGCCACAGGACAAGGCCTCCCGACCGCCGCTACCTCCTCATCTCCTCTCCGAGTCCTCGCACGGTCGTCACAGTCACCCCCAGAACTCAGCTAAGCTCGCGTTCGTTTTCGCAAGGAGCAGAGGAGGAGGGGAGAGATGGATCACGCGGCGGAGGCGCAGAGGACGGACCTGATGACGATCACGCGGCACGTGCTGAACGAGCAGGGCCGGCACCCGGAGTCGCGGGGGGACTTCACCATCCTACTCTCCCACATCGTCCTCGGCTGCAAGTTCGTCGCCTCCGCCGTCAACAAGGCCGGCCTCGCCAAGCTCATCGGCCTCGCCGGCGACACCAACGTCCAGGCAAGCAACCCCATCTCTGATCCGCTCTACTCTACTCTACTGTTCCTCCACACAAATCCATGTGATGGCGGATGGCCTCCTCGCGTTAGTTCTTGTTTGCTTCAATTTCACGCTGTCACACGTACGAGGTGGCGGTGCAGGGTGAGGAGCAGAAGAAGCTTGACGTGCTCTCCAACGAAGTCTTCGTCAAGGCGCTCGTCAGCAGCGGCCGCACGGTAATACAGTACAGATTAGCAGTTTATGTTTTGCTACAGATAAGTTCAGTTTCTGAAACTTGACAGTGACACTCCATTCCTTTCTGTGCAGTGTGTTCTTGTGTCTGAAGAGAACGAGGAGGCCATTATCGTCGACGCTCCCCTCCGCGGAAAGTATGTGAAATTTATGATAGTACTACTACCATGTTCTTCTCAGTTGCTAGCTATCAGCCACGAGTTCGACAAGATCATGGTGACTGTTTCGTCTCATCAGAAGCTGCACGGGTTCCCTTTCTCTTCAGGTATTGCGTTTGTTTTGATCCACTGGATGGCTCCTCAAATATCGATTGTGGTGTCTCCATCGGGACGGTAAGTGTCACTTTCATTAACAGAGCCGATCTCCTCTGGTTTCAACTCTCAACTGTAAATCAAAGAAAATGAATGGTCTAGTACTGTTATCTGCGCGCAATCAGAGGATTTCTTGCTTTCTGAACATGACAAAAGTTGGTTGCTTGCTACTAGAGCTTACTCGATGTCTGATAGCCCATTTCACCATTTGAACTCGCTCTGTTATCAACACAATAAACAGCCTCTACTAGTGATTAATTTGAGAAACACTTCCAATCATAGCTGTCAGTTAATGTAGTCGGCTGTTCTGTTCTACAGATCTTTGGGATTTACATGATTAAAGACAAGGACAACGTGACTTTGGACGATGTACTGCAACCTGGAACAGACATGCTTGCTGCTGGCTACTGCATGTACGGGAGTTCATGCACGGTAACCATGTCATCTGAATCCATTTCCCCTTCAGATATATCACATGTACTCTCTTCCTAAATAGACTTGGTTCTGGTATGACAGCTTGTGTTGAGCACTGGAAATGGAGTAAACGGTTTCACCCTTGATCCTTCCCTTGGGGAGTTCATTCTGACTCATCCAAACATCAAGGTCTGTGATTCAACAATGCAATTCTTGTTCTTAATTGGATTGGTCATGGATCAAAACAAAATGGCCATTTTTGGCACCTGTACTGTACTCTTCTTTTTGTGTAGATACCAAATAGAGGAAAGATCTATTCAGTGAACGAAGGGAATGCGAAAAATTGGGATGCTCCTACAGCGAAGTATAAAAGGCCTTAATTTCGTTTACGAAATATTATCTTTAATTCTTAAGTACTTGAGCTGAATTTTCGAGTCAATATTGCAGGTTTGTGGAGAAATGTAAATTTCCCCAGGATGGTTCGCCTTCTAAATCCTTGAGATACATCGGAAGGTCAGTCATATAATCTGACAGAAGAGCAACACGTTTAATTAGCTTTAGATGAGGCGATAATCAGCAATATAATGCGTGGCTGCATGCCAATATGTTTACACCTTACAGTTATTTGAATTTGAATGCTCTTTCTTACACTGAATACTGAACTGAACATTTTTTTGGTTATGTTGTTGCTCTGCTTCTGGATGGTCCACACAGTATGGTTGCTGATGTCCACCGTACTTTGCTATATGGAGGCATATTTTTGTACCCTGCGGATCAGAAGAGCCCAAACGGAAAACTTCGGTATGCTGATGCAACTCTGAACTGCAAAGGTAGAGTAGTAAATGTAGATTGCTGAAGTTCGCTACATGTGGCATGGCAGTGTTCTGTACGAAGTGTTCCCAATGTCATTCTTGATGGAGCAAGCTGGAGGACAAGCTTTCACAGGCAAACAACGGGTGAGCTGAACTTCACTTCGGTTTTAGTAGCACATTCATCTTACGATTTAACCAAAAAAATGTACTCCCTCTGTTTCACAATGCAAGTCATTCTAGCATTTCCCACATTCATATTAATGTTAATGAATCTAGACAAACATTAATATGAATGTGGGAAATGCTAAAATGACTTGCATTGTGAAACGGAGGAAGTAGCATTCAAATTTCAATGTTTTTATAAACCAATGGCATCCACAAGAAACTAAAGAGCTGTTGCTGCATTTGCATTGCAGGCCCTTGAACTTGTTCCCAGAAAGATTCATGATAGATCTCCAATATTCCTGGGGAGCTATGATGACGTGGAGGATATCAAAGCATTGTACGCTTCAGAGTCTATCATCGGTTGACCGGTGTTACTGAAGAGTAAAAGGACACATGAATCACCCTCTACCTTGTGAACATAGACATTTTTTTTTGCTTTAATGTAAAAAAATCAGCCTATACTGACACGGTACGGCTTCACCAATATGAAAGAATAAAGGAATATGATTCTTACATAATTTGATTGGAACATAAGTGCCTTTTCAGCTCCTTGCAATAGCTAATTTTAGGCTTACATTTGATCTTTTGTTTCGGGTTATAGCTATATCGTTTTGTCTTAAAGTATAATTACACCGTTGCTCCAAGGGTCATTTTTACAGCTCTTGATAAGTATTCCAAGTTATCATTTTGGTACCTTTTGTTTTTACAAGGATTATAAAGAGAGTATCACTTTTTTTGTTCTTGGTACATTACAGAAAAATGTGGTACCTCTCGGTATCTCGTTAAGAGCCCGTAAAATTTCTCTAATAAAAAGCTATTGCTACAGAATTGAAGGTTTGTAATGTAATATTCAGGCTACAATAATAACCCAATCAAATAGCGAAGTAACACCAATCGCCATATTAATTCCTTTTCCAATAACAAATAGAAGTACATAGATCAAAGCACAAGCCTTGAAACAAATTTCCAAATGAGTAATGCCGAAATACAGACTAATACATCTCTGGGGGGGGGGGGGGGAGCAATGATTTGTTGACATACATAACCCATATAACTTGGCTATGCATCAGATCTTAACTGTTCTGCAGAGCCACTCTTTGCTTGAGCTCACGGGAAGAATTCGTAAATCAAAAAATTGGAATACGCTCTACCGCTTCAAGCTCTGCAGAATGTACTGTGCGTACAGATCCCTGAAAATAAGACAACAAATTGGATCATCGAACATCAACAATCCAACATGGTAATATGCACATCAATGCTGCAAAATGTTTAGGACTTACATAGAGTACTGGATTGCTTCACGAGCTGTCGGAGCAGGCAAGAAGTCATTGACAGCAACCTCCTTGTTCTCATTCTTCTTGTCTGAAAGATTTTGATCAAGAATAAAACAATTGAAATCAAGGTGCAATACCAAGCATAAAAAATGTAGCAATCGTATGAGCTGAGGAAGCAGGCGTACAGTCTTCAAAGAAGCGCCGGATTTCCTGAAGGCGATGAGGAGAAAGCTCGCTGAGATTATTGAAATGGCGGTACTCAGGATCATCGGCGCAGACAGCTATGATCTTGTCATCCTTCTCTCCCTGTTCATGAAACGGAAAAAAATGCAGGTGCAGTGTAAGCTTGTTGCCGATACTTAAATGACAAAAGTTATTTTTTTCTCCCTAATAAAGTTTGACTTAGCAGAGATGAATGGATTGATTTACTTACCTGGTCAATCATAGGCATGAGACCAATGGCCCTGGCTCGGAGGAATGAACCAGGAAGAACTGGTTCCTGGTTGCGAACAACACAAGGTTGTACGTTAGACAAATTAGCAAATGCAGAAAATGTGAGTCATATAGAAAATTAAGGGCGTCAATTCTGTTCACCTGCATGAGGACAAGGACATCCATGGGGTCGTTGTCCTCGCAAAGCGTTCTCGGAATGAAACCGTAGTTGTGAGGGTAGACCACGGACGAGTATAGAATCCGATCAACCTGTCCGAGATTTTTCAGATCTTAGCTCATGATGCAATCGAGAGAAGTTTTTAGAGACGTGGGAGGAAATGCGTGCAGCGTTGCAGTCTTGCAGACCTTGATGAGCCCCGTCTTCTTGTCCAGCTCGTACTTCACCTTGCTCCCCTTGGTGATCTCCACGACCTGTGCCAAAAATCCACCACGGGACACATCGCAACAAAGCTGTCATCATCGCCAGCGGCCGGGCGGCAAAGAACGGAATAATTAAGCTGGAGCTGGAGGAGGATGCAAAAGAACAGGGCGTGCACTTACGACGTTGAACACGGCGGGAGCATCAGGGCCGATCTCGAGGTCGTGCCACGGGTGCGCGGCGACGGACCTCCGCGACAGCGACGAGAGGATCCTCTCGTTCAGCTTCGGCCCGGGCCGCGGCGTCTGCTGATACGGCTCCACCACCTCGTCGGCGGCGCCGTGTCCGTTCTCTCCATTCTCGCTGCTCATCCTGTCTTAGCTAGCGTAGTACGATCGCGTCGGTTGGTTTGTACAGACGACTATACGATACGATCGAGTACGACCGGTGGACGATGATCGACCGAAGCGCGCGGCGCGCCGGGAATTATATAGGCCGCGGCCGGTCTGGGTTGGTGGTGGTGGGGAAGGGGTGGGCCGCGGCTAACGCGGGGCGGATGGATGGCATGTGCGGTGCTGCCGGTGCCGGTGCTTGCTGCGCCCGTGGCGCGGGACGACGGTGGGAAACTTCCCCGCGTGCGTCACTGCCGTTCCGCACGTTGGCCGCGCGCGCGGAGTGAGTGCTCGCTCCGAGCTACTCCAGCTGTGCGGCGCCTCTCAATTCAACGTGCAGCAGCGAACTGCGAACGTACGAGGGTGGCAGTATCACCTGCTCCCTCCGCCCACCCCCCCCCTCAAAAAAAAAAAAATCTAAAATTAAATGTGACACGTTTAGTACAATGAATGTAGACTTAGACAGAAATATATTCAGATTCGTATTAAGATAATGTTATGTTGATTTTTATGGGATAGAGGAAGTACTTTGCTTGGTGACCTTTTCTTCCTTTTTTCTCTTTAGGTAATGACCAGGTTTGATATTCTAGAAAGGACTGTCACTGGTAATGAAGTTGTTTAAGGCGGTGTTCTTTCACTAGTATAGATCCTTCTATCTGTGACAGCCTCTAACATGTCTGAAATTAGCGGGTCATCACAAGAAAGTCATCTCAATCGGACCAAAAAAGCGTCCGATTGAGATATGGTCGCACAGACATGCTAGATGGATATAAAACTCAGACCCATCATGGATGACACCTATCAGTGACGGGCCGTAATTTAAGCCCGATTGAGATAACATTCCATATCTCAATCGGGCCCCAAGTTGGAGCCCGTCACGTGACGGGCTCCAATTTAGGGTCCGATTGAGATAACAACTAGGCCCGTCACAGATGACTCATTCGTGACGGGCATTGTACTAATGCCCCGACTGAGATGACTTAATCTCTATCGGGCATTAACTAAAGCCCATCACAGATGAGTCATCGGTGACGGGGCCTATACTAATGCCCGATTGAGATGACTTAATACCCGTCACGGATGAGTCATCTGTGGCGGGCTCTATACTTATGCCCGATTGAGATGTATGTTTAACTATAATATGAGTAAGGTTTCTCAGATCTGATCGAAAATTTTTCTAAGTCCCGCCACTATTAGATATCAACAAGTTACAACTTCTTCTCCGGAATCCGATCTCCAAAGAACTATGAGGTTAAGAGCATTTTCAGGATGGGTGACCGATCGAGGAAATTCTTCCTGGGTGCACACGAGTGAAGACAAAGTCTGTAGAAAAGACCGGGATGGGTGACCAATCGGGAAATTCTTCCTGGGGGCATACGAGTGAAGACAAAGTGTGTAGAAAAGACTAGCCCGGCCTGGGAGAGGCGGGACGTTACATGAGGCTAGCCAAAAAATAAGATTTATTTTTTTTTTGGATTATACTCATCTTTAACGGGCATTAACTTAGTACCCGATTGAGACGAGGGTGCACATGAGTGAAGATAAAGTGTGTAGAAAAGACTGGCCCGGCCTGGGAAAGGCGGGACGTTACATGAGGCTAGCAAAAAATAAAATTTATTTTTTTTGGATTATACTCATATGTGACGAAAATTTATTTTTTTGGATTAAACTTATCTGTGACGGGCATTAACTTAGTGACCGATTGAGATGAGGGTGCACACAACTGAAGACAAAGTGTGTAGAAAAAACTGGCTTGGCCTAGGAGAGGCGGGACGTTACATGAGGCTAGCCAAAAAATAAAATTTATTTTTTTGGATTATACTCATCTGTGACTGGCATTAATTTAGTGCCCAATTGAGATGAGGGTCATCTGTGACGGGCTGTAGTTAATGCCCGATTGAGATGAGGGTCATATGTGACGTGCTATAGTTAATGCTCGATTGAGATGAGTAGTCATTTGTGATGGGCGCTAGTTGTGGCCCGATTAAGATAGGTCATCCGTGACGAGCTATAGTTTGACTGGTCGTCTGGGTCAAAGCTATCGGTGACGGGCTTTAATTAAGGCCCGATTGAGATAAGTTCATCCGTGACGGCCGTTTGCTTGATTGAGATAATTTTTCACATCTGTGACTTCTAGACTGTGACGGACACCGTGCCCGATTGAGATAGGGGTTACCGCCCGATTGAGATGGTGATTACCGTTCTAGTGTTTTCTCCAATTTTCTGACTTCTATGCACACACATTTCTCGAACTACTAACCTATAGAAAGTCTTTGAAAAATATATTAATCTATGTTAATAATTATTATGTACTAATGAGCTACTCCATTTTTCCTGTCGGATACAAAGATTTTAAATATGCATGTTCGAATTCAGTCTAACCTCGCTTACTAGAAAATAAGGACGGAGTTAGAGTATACAAGCGAGGTGCCCAGGAACCAGTCAATAAATTTTTTTAGCTATATCTCACCTAATTTCATTATGTTTGCATCCTTTCGATATAAATTTAGATACCTGCATCAGTTTAAACTTAATGTAAAATAGAGTAAATTAAACAAGTACTAGCACACTCTTCCTTTCATTTTAGCTTTGTCCCTGCCGGAAAAGGAGGGGAGAGGCATGAAACCGTTTCAAAGGCTTTGAGATCGTGATGGGAGCGTTACTCAAATAATGAAAGCAAAAGGCAAATAATAAAAATGCATGGAGTCGTGGTGCACATGCCGGTCGATGCTGAGCACGTTGTTACGAAGGTTTTGAATTGGACTTTATGAATGTAAAGTTGTACTTTTGACGCGGATAATACTATTGCTTGCTGTGGCATCTGGAATTTCGTGACACAAATCACACAATTACAAGCATCAAGTAGGGAATATTTTTTTTTCTTTTTGAAAAAGGCAAAAGCTTAAGTAGGGAATGTATGACCAAACGTGCAGCATCCACTAAAATGGGACGTGTATTTTTCCCTTCTACTACAACAGAATTTGTATTATTAGTAATGTAATAATCAGAAATAAAAGAGGTCTTCTAGAAGCTACACCATCAAACTGAATTGTAACCAAAGAAATACTACACAGCTGTTTGATCTGTGTTGATGCTATCCAGATCATGGTTCACGCTCAACAGCATCACCAGCAAACTGGTGACAGTGAGTGATGCCTCGGGCATATGCCACCTCCATCCAAACTCCAAAGTAGCTTTGCACGTCTTGAAGACAAACTAGACCAAAGGTCCTGCAATTTTTCCATATAAAACACTTTCTATAAGACGTCTTGGATTTTGAAATGGTGGATACCGAGCTGGCTCGGCTTGGCTCGGTATGGCTCCTTAAGATAACGAGCTAAAAGTCTCGCTCGGTTTGGCTCAGCTCGAGCCAACTCGTTTAGCTCGCGAGCTTGATCTAGACAAAAGCACACACAGTCACGCAAAGCAGGAGGGGCGAGCGAGCGGCCAAGCAGACAATCGGAGAATCGAGCAGCAAGACCATGTGGCTAGTGACACAACAGCGCCGGCCGAACCTCGCGGGAGCAGCAGGCTCCACGGCACGTCGGCACCAGACCTGGTCATCCTCCAAACCACGCCACCTTGGACACCTGGATAGGAAGAAGAGGGACGACATGGCGGATGCCAGCGTGACCGAAAAGGATATGGAGGAGTCGACTTGCGCCGGGAGGGGGGGGGGGGGGTCCAAGCTGGTGACGATGCCGTGCTTGTGGCGTTGAGCACTTGAGCTGCTGCTACAGGCAGCCGGCCGCTCAGCCGACCAACGGAGGTGCCTCGCCCGTGGTGCTTGATGATGTGGTGCGGCCGTGCGGATCCGCAATTAGCTAGTCCAAGCTGCGTCGCCGTAGGCTGCCGTCGTTGGTGAAGTATCTAGCCCTCGTTGTTAATTTTAATAATTAATGACAAACACTAATTGTGGACTAATCGTTGTCTTTGAGATATTTATATTGAGTTAGGTTCACATCATGAGTGTGCGTGGATGATTATCGATGGATTAAAATTGACGGCGCAAAGCGAAGGATAAGAAGATGGTAAACTAGTGTTTTTATTTTAAATTGATCGAGGCGTTGGGCGATCAAAATTGTGCTAGTTTATTTATAGCTTTGTTGTACTATTAAGAGGGGTAATGACCTAGCAAAGAGATGATTTTAATTGCCACATTAGCTCATTGCCTTTTCACTTGTGCTCACATTTCACAACACACACATGCATTCACTGAGTTCGGCCAGACCAGGGCTGGTCTGACCGAGTGCCCCAAGCTGGTCTGACCGCAGGTCACCGCCCGGTATGACCGGCCACATAGTGGCGGTCTGACCGGTATGTTTGCTCGGTCTGACCGGCCCCCTGGAGGTCGGAAGTGTGTTGCTCTGGTTTGGGTGATACAGAGCCGACGGAGCCGTATTCGGTCAGACCGAGTTGAGGGCGGTCTGACCGGCCAGGCCGATGGGGCCCTCTGACAGAGCTACAACGGCTATAAAACTAGTCGTTGTAAAGTAGCACGGTATGACCGGCCACACACCTCCGGTCAGACCAGCAGTACACAGAATTGGGGGTTTTCGCCCCCAACTGCTAGTTTTGGTTGGTGGGAGTATAAATACCCCCCCTCCAGCAGCAAGGGGGCTTTCTTGGCACCCAATTCAGTTGCATACACCCCTTGTACCTCTCTCTCACACATTTGACCTTAGTGTTCATCCATTGTAGTGGTTGAGATTGTTCTAGCCAAGAGTCAAGTGCATTGATTCCATTGTAGAGCTAGTGTGGCACTTGATCATCTCTGAGCCGCGTCATCATTTGTTACTCTTGGAGGTTGCCGCCTCCGAGACGGCTTGTGGAGAAGTTGCCCGGTGACCTCTCTGAGAAGATTGTGGAGGAGGCCCGGCGCCGGTTGTGAGTGGTTTGGAGTTCACCACCTTCGGAGTGAAGGAATAACTACCCCTAGTGATCGAGGCTTGGGTAGTCCTCTCCGTGGACTGGCTCCCGCCTTGCCCACCCCTTGACGAAGGGGGCGTGCAGTGGCTTCGTGGTTGAGCTGTGGAGTTGGACTCGCCTCAACGGGGAGTAGGAAACCGGCGAGTTTCCGAACCTCAGTGAAAAATCTCTTGTCTCCTTGTCTCATTTACTTGTTGCATTTACATTTGTGCAATTTACATTCCTAGAGACTTACTAGAGATCATATCACCCTAAGATTGCTAAACTAGACTTAGGAAGTGTGATTTACTTTCCTAGTGATATACTTGAGCCACTTTCACCCTAAGATTGCAAAACATAACTTAGTTGCTTAGTTAAACTTGTCCCTCACCGAGTCTAGTAATTTAGGTTAGTTTTGATTATGTTTTATTTAATTTTAAATCGTCTATTCACCCCTCTCTAGTCGATATCTCGATCCATTTGACCATCCCCATCCATTGCTGGCCACCAGTTTGCAGTCGTGCTGCTACGCGGTTGACTGGTTGTGCCTGTGCTTGCCTTTGCGGTGTGATGGAGGTTGGTTTAGGCTGTCTCGTGACACATCAGCACATGCGGTGTGATGGTCTGGTGGATTGATGGGTTACAGATGGTGGGTTGGTTTGATGGGTTAGCTGTATGCTCTATGCCTCCGGCTCGCTCGTTTGGCTCGTGAGCCAGCTCGTTATCTCCAACAAACTAAAATGTTAACTCAGCTTGTTAGAAAAATGCAATGAGCCGAGCCAAGTTAGTCACAAGCAAAGAGACCAAAGAGACCAAAACATCTTATACTCCCTCTGTCCCATTTTAAGTGCAACCATACGTTTTCGCGCTCAACTTTAATCGTTCGTCTCATTTGAATATTTTTTATAATCAGTATTTTTGTTATTTTGAGATGATAAAAATGAATAGTACTTTACTCGTGACTTATGTTTTTAATTTTTTTTCAAAAATTTTTCAAATAAGAGAACAATTAAAATGGGATGGAGGGAGTAATATGGAATGAGTAAAATGGGATGGAGGGAGTAATATGGAATGAGGGGAGTATCTGAATAGGGTGTTGCATTGAGAGAGATAAGAGGTGATCGGAGTGCATTTTTCAGTGAGACCATCCAACGGAGGAGGAAGAGAAAACAATTATTGACTTCTATTGACGTCGGGTTGCACAAAGGAATTTTTTTTATTTTTAATATTTAAAGAAATACTATATCGGCGGAAAGATTTACAAAAATAGACCTTGCCGCCCTCTATTTGGGCGGCAAGCTGACGTGGCACATGGAGTCGTGACGGTGCCGTGTGGGCATTTTGCGTTTAGACTCTTGCAGCTGCAAGGGGATAAATGCAATTTTTGCTCTGCCAAAAAAGCAATTGGCTAGTTCTTTTTGCATCTGAGCCCCTTGCCGCCCTTGCGAATTTTGCACGGATGCCCCTTGCCGCCCAGACAAAGGGCGGCAGGGGGCCACGTGCAAAATTCGCAGCCCCCACTACCAGAAACTAGATTACTTATGACGGCTAAAAACCGTCAGGATAAAACAAAAACATGTCAGGAAAATTGTTTGTGACGTGTCAACGTCAGGAAAATTCCGTCAGGACTAGCTTGTCTGAGAAAAATAAATTTGGGTGACGGAGGCGTGTCAAGATTAAATTTCCTGACGTGTACTCATGTCAGGGAGAGTTTTCCCGACGTTGATGTGAGCAGTCAGCGATATTCATCTATCGCTGATGGTCTCTCCTGTCACAGTTTTGCAGTGGTTTTTTCTGATGGTTATGACCGTCAGGAAAATATATTTCCCTGACAGTTAGACAACTAGCCGCAAATCATTAGGAGAAAACCTACCAGAACGTAGGCATGAATCAAATATACACAGTACAATATCAAAAGTACTCATTTTCAGTATTCATCATGATCACATACACACCTCAAGTTCAAGCTCAATATTTCATTAACTTATGGATCAAGTGATACACATAGATCCCTCATAACAGTATAATGTAGTTCCAGTTCACTATTTGAACATAACACAAAAGTATCACTTTGTGGAGTTTGCATGGCCAAGAGACTATGTAAGAAACTTAGTACTAATTTTGGAGTCCCACACTCTATCGAGGTCTAGAACCATAAATACAACCTATCCAAAAGTATTAGTATGACACAACTCCACAGTCAGTATATCCAAAAGCCTTAGCCCATCTTGCATGATCTGTTAGTGAAGTGAGTGGCAGCATCATGGAGAGGCATTCAAGATGTGCTAGTATTACAACCACCAGAGTTGTTGTTCCCACCGATGTTGCTTCCATCATTGGCATTCAAACTGCTAGTATTATTGCCATTGCAGTTGTTGTCGCCGTTGTTATTGCCACCATTGCCAGAGGCGGTGTTACATCCATTGCTGTTGTTGTTCCCATTGTCCTCAACTGGCTGTGTGAGACTACATGGGAAGAACTTGTTCCCTGCAGCAGTTCGAAATGAAGTTTATAAGAATTCAGTCCAATTAACCAGTACTGAAAACGCATGCCGATGCAATTAGAAGAAACAATAAGTAATACACAGTGGTCTATCAAAGTTCATATGCAATCATTTTGTACTATATTGAACAAATGTTGGAGTAACTATAACCTTCTAAACCAATTTTCTGTTTTGTGCAAGATGCAAGTCATCTCAAACTAAAATAATATATTTTGTCTTACCATCTCAATTATTTGAGAATGTGACTACAAGGCCAACTGTTACAACAATCAACATGAGCCCAATCCCTCACTGTAAGTGCTGCATTGTCTGTTCTCACTCTGACATACCAATACGAATTAGTTTGCTATTTCAATAGGGCAACCAAATTGTACTGGCACAATATAAATATTCAGCTAGTTCATCTATGAGTAACCACAGCAGTATAGGAGAAAATACCTAGGTAAATAACTAAAATAATTGAACTCCACTTACCTGTGCAAATGGATCTTCCTCTTCTACTGGACAGTCCAATTCTTGTGGTACTTGTTCACCCAACTTTTCATAAAGTGCCTACATTTAAAAAGTAGCCAACTGGGTTTAGAAACTAAAAACTAAACCTGAGAGTAAAAGTATTATTGTAACTTCATACCAGTAACAACTTGTCAGTTCGTTCCTATTTTTTGCGCATGTATTGATTCTCCCGGAGTAGTTGTTCATTTTGTCGAGCCATATTTTGAGTTTGTTGAGCCATATTTTGGAAAGCAATTGAATTGACAGGTCGAACATTTGTTGATTTGGCCACAGCCAAAATATTAGCCTTCCTAACAGCTCCATTCGCTATCTGTACGCGACCATGTGGCAAGCCACCATTGGTGCTGTACAATACATTCTCATCTAGGTCTCTTTGTTGCCAATCATCTGGATATTTAGCCCTAAGACCTGTTAAATAATCAGTCTACAAAAAGGTTGGAATTTAGTACCAAACAAAACATTCCTTCAATGGAAAGAATAGAAGCAGAAACCATACCACACGCTTTTGTGCTTTCTGGCTTGGGATTGGTCCAATATTTCCATCATTATCTATATTTTTAAAGCCAGTCTTCATTGCACTAAAAGTGTTTAGTGTTGTAGCTTTCTCAGGTCCAAATTTTACTCCCTAAAACATAATTGGTTTGATGAGCAATACCCTATGAATAAAACTAATGAAAAACCATGCTGAAAAGATATGGTACCATATATTGTTGTGTCTCTGTGAATGGCCGGGAACCTCCTCGGTTTTGGGCAACATCCTCAGAATTAAGGCGTGCTTGTTGGCCTCTCTTTCTTTTTGCCTTGAACTCTTCAGTACACCAATAATCTGCAAGGTATGAAAATCCATTGTCTCTGCACCAATCAACGGGGCCATCCTTATATTCATCAACTTCAAGTTCCTTTGGGCGTGCTAATGCATCATCAATTTGCTCCCCAATTTTATCATGGTACACCTTGACAGAATCGACACGAAGCTGATACATCATTTGCCTCACTGATTTCGCTGCATAATTTTCCAAAACACGGTCAGCCTCTACCTTGTCCGCCTCACTGACACAGAATGCATTCTGCATGTACCAAGTTAATATATATTAGATAGCAATTTAATTGTTTGTCAATGTAATTTGAAGGACATTTTAACAATGACTTACCCAAAATTCTTGCTTCACCTTATCTGCATTTGTGACTCCTGAGTCGTCTTTCTTTTCATAGTAATCAAACCATGAGGTTGCTAGACGGCTGCTGATGATTAAACCATTCTCATCCTTCTCTTCAATAATGCCAGGGTATTCTCGTTTAAGAATAATTCCCATATGTGTACCATATTTGGGGTCTGATTTCAATAGAGGGTATGTTACGTACTCAAATTGCCTAAAGAAAACACCCATGTGAGAATTGTTCCATTAAGAGGAGAAAAACATAGACAACACATGTACAGAGCTTTTGTATACATACCCATATTAGATTTGAAGAACATGTATGCTACTCAATTTATCACGTCACAAACATATTGGCTTTGAACAATATAAATTCTATAGAACAGAAATTAAGACAACCTCTAATTTATTAGAGCAGTTAACAAAGTAATAAGCATTAGTAGAAAATCTGTAGGGTTCTAGAAATGCAGATACTTACTCATCACCCCGAGGTTTCAGCGCGATCTTTCGACCCCGCGGAGGTACTTTTAGTGCAGTTCTTGAGCCCTTCTTCCTCCCTCTTTTATTTGGTGGCACACTGCTCATGCCACTTCCAGAAATATTGGTGGCTTGGGAGGCATTATCAGTATTGCTACTATTACCAGCACAAAGTCTCTGGGAGGAGTTAGCACCGGAGTTACTACTGCCACCTCCATTGATCATTTCTGGGACTCTGTTTTTTGCATTAGTAGCACTAGCATTGCTCCTTGTGGAGATGTTCCTGCCTTGTTGCTGTCTTGCAAGCCGCTTCCGATGAATGCTGTTCATTTCCTGCAATGTTATATCCATTTATTAGTTTTAGAAGAGCACCATCGGTCCATAAAAAAAGAAGAATAATAGCATATATTTTCATAGCATGGAATCATTCAAACAAATAATAATCCATCAGTGCTTAATATAAAACCTTTATAAAGTACAAAATGACCTTAGGTACTTAAAGGTTAAAAAGTCATATGAAAGTTGGCAGCTGCATAAATAAATTAACAGACACAAAATACAATAGATATTTATAGATATTTCAATCTCAATAGCTTAAACTAAAAATCATTTGGATCATAAGTTGGGGGCTGTGTCCCTTCATCTTCTTCATCATTTTCTTCTTCTTCTTCTTCTTCTTCTTCTTCTTCTTCTTCTTCTTCTTCTTCTTCTTCTTCTTCTTCTTCTTCTTCATTGTCATCTTCATCGTAATTATCTTCAGCCTGCGTTTGCTTTTCTAGGAATTCTAAGAATTTTGCATTGGTTATCTCATCCAAAATAGGTGGAGTCATATTTCCTAAGTCAGCCCCAAGGTCAATAATAAAAGTGCCTTCCAATCTATCTTCTTGATAGAATGATACATCTTGGGTTTGATCATCATTTGGGTTGGAATCATTATTTGTGTTCTCAACTTTCTGGACATAACCCCGTGGATTGACATGATGTACAACCCACCATTCTGATAGATCACGTCTTGTAGTGCATGGGTAAGGCAAATAATATACTTGTGTAACTTGACTAGCCATCACAAATGGTTCAAAAGTTGAAAGCCTAGACGTGTGCTTAATTTCAACTAAACCCAAATTGTCAGTACGCCGAACACCGGTAGATGTTGGGTCAAACCAATAACAGTCAAACAAAACCAATTCAAGGTTCATGTTGCCTTCCCAACTAATCTTGAGTATGTCTTTTATAATACCATAGTACTCTAGCACATCATTGTTTTCGCCAACACAAGACACACACCCCACTGTTGGTTGTTGTTAACCCTGATTTCTTGCTCTCATACTTCTCTGAACGAAACCTATATCCATTGATATCATAAACTCCATAAGTGGAAACTGTACTTCGAAAACCATAAGATATTTGACACAAAGCATTGTGTATACTAGATGACTTCATGCACTGCAAATGACAGATATTAGTGTTAGTTTTAGTTGATTGCAGATTGAAGGAAAGACAATGTCTCAAGTGGTTAGAGTCATACTTCAGTTCTGAACCAATCAAAGAAATTAGGCCCATTTCTAATGCCACGACCAGATTTCCATCCATTTAATCGCAAGTCTCGCAACTGATTTGGTGTTGGTGAAATTCGGCTCTTCCATTGTTCCTTATCATATTTACTACATTAACAAACTTATTTAGAATTATGGCATAAAAATATATGAATGACTCATAGTAGATTTGAAACGTACTTGAAGAAATCATCCATTTCTGGTGTGTTTGTCAATATGTATAAGGTAGCAGCCTTGTACTGTTGGCAGCCCCGTGGGCTAATACACCGGCCAGGGTACTGAAATATTTCTAGGTTGTATGTACTATCAAATTGTGAGCTGCCATCATCATATCGATGCATCTTGTTTCTAGCAGACCGAACTTTAGGATTGAAATAGAGTGAAAGAAAATTAGATGTTTCCTCAACTAGGTAGGCCTCAACAATGGAACCCTCAACTCGAGCTTTATTTCACACTTTCTTTCTAAGTTTTTGGATAAACCTACATGGCAGGACCAAATGCATTAGGGTTAGTAAACTCTATAAAAACAAGTTAATGTTTTACTTCTTGTTTTACCTCTCATATGGATAATTCCAACGAAATTGGACAGGACCTCCAAGTCGAGCTTTGTAACGCCTTGGAAATCGCCCTAAATTTAAATCGTGCTTTAATGCATTTCTAGAAATTTTAAAAGCCTAAAAGAGCCTTCAACAATTAAAATTCACCAAGATTTATATCAAATTGGCTTGTGGGTATTTTTAATAAATTCCCCATGTTTAAAAATGTTTAATCAATTTTTACTTGAATTTTCAGAGCATCCTAAATAATTTTAAGGCAACAAAAACTATTAAAGAATTTTATAAAATGGAAAATATAAAAGAAATCCTCTTCCTCCTCTTGGGCCTCTTCTGGCCCATCTCTCCATCTCTCCCTCTCTTGGCCCAGCCGCCCCCTCTCCTTCCCTCTCTCCCCTCCCCTCCCTCTCCTTGGGCCAGCCCAGCTCCTCCCCTCCCGCAGACCGAAGTCTGTTTTGCCTCCTCCACGCGCCCAGTCAGAGACAGGTGTGCTTCCTCTCGATGACAGGTGGGTCCCACTCGTCATCCCTAACCTCCAGCCATCCTCTCTCTCTCCGGCCGAATTCCAAGCGACGGCAACCTCCGATTCGCCTCCTCCACTTGCCGTTTCATCAAATTAATTGAGGGGAATTAATTCCCACCTCATCCTCTCCAATTCCCCCATAATTTCCCACTCAATCCCGCATTATTCGTGGTGGATTTTGATGATGTTCTTTAATGGTGAGCTCCACCATGGCCGGCGTCGATCTCCCTACCCGGCGTCTCTCTCCCTCCCCTCCAGCCTATAAAAGGGACCCCCGACTCCCTCCTCTCTCCCCTCACACCGCCGCCCTCTCCCTCCTCTCTCCGCGGCCGCCGCGCCGCTCTCTTCTTGTGCCGCCGCCGTCGCAACTCCGGCCGCCCCTCGCCGGTGGTCGGGACCTCATCGGAGCCCGGCGTCGCCACCATCCGCTTCGCCGCTTCCTCCTCTTCCCCGTCCACCCCTCCGTGGAGCACGAGGACCGCGGGAACGACGACGACACCGACGACCCGAAGTTCCTCACCGTTTCTTCCTCACCGCCGGCAACACTGTCGACCTCTCGCCGCCGTGTCTGCTCGGTGAGAACCGTCATCTCCTCCCCTTTCCGTTTTTCCCCTTCCCGTACTCCGTCGCACCGTCACCGCGCCGTTGGCCGTCGCCGGCGTGCCGCCTGGCTCGGGTGCTTCTCCTTCCCGCCGTGCTTGTGCGCCGTGAGCCGCCCTCATGGTGTACCGAGCGGCTGCCAAGTGGGACCCGCTCGTGGACCCCTCTCTCTCTTCTCTGTGCAATAAATCAATTTCCTTTAGAAAAATAATTCACAAAATTGTAAATTTCCATTTAAACAGCATATAAACTTCAAATGGCCATATCTTGACCGTTTGAACTCGGAATTGACCCGTTCAAATCTCTAATTTCTCCTAAAAATGAGTAGAACCCATTTATGTGCTTTATTGCTTCTGTTTATATGGTTTTTATTAGCCTTTTTGTATTTCTTCGCATTGGTCGTGTAGATCCTGCCGTTCCGGAGGATCAGCTCTTCATCACCGTCGACGTCGAAGACTTTGTGAGCGATCAAGGCAAGTCATATCTACCTTGAACATGTTGAATCCCATATTGTGAAAATTATGTTGTTTTACTTATATTGCATTGCTTTATAAATTATACCGTTCATTATTAATATTGTTTTATTAGTTATTCCTATGCTCTTGGTTATGGCCATGATGTTGATTTGATATCCATGATCTTTGTGAACCCTAGTAAAATTATAACTTGACTAGTCTAGTACCCTACATGATGGACTGACTAGTTGCTTTAGGTAAATGCTTAGTTATGCTTAGTTCCAACCTAGAACTTTTGGTTAAACTAGACTATGGTGGTTAACAACTAAAACTGGATTAGTTATGGACTATTGACGGGTTTGTCAATAGGTGGGTGATAAAATGCTTTGTGCAACTAAAATATATTTTTGGGTTGGGCTCGGGGTGCAAGTTGGTTACTTTGGTAGTCGCATCCCGGCTAAGGGATCTTCGTGCCTCTGTTTCAAGGCATCTTCGTGCAACCACAAGTCTAGTGGGTAAGGCCTGACTGGAAGTTTAGATCTTCTCAAAACAGAGACCATTGGTTGGAAGGGTGTGGGGTCAGGATTAAGGCCGTTTTTTCACCCGGCGCAAGGGGGGGGCTATCTCGTCCCGGGGGATCCGACAACCTTTACCTTGTCGGGGACCGGCGGGCGGCGAAACCTCAGCGGGTTCTCCTGTTTTGGGTAGACCTAGATGGATAGTCTTGTCACGACCTCTATCCGAGTACCGTGGTGGTACCCGGCGCGTGGCAACGCGTGTTGAGGTTGTGTCTTGTGGGTAAAGTTGTACACCTCTGATCAGAGTTAAAAACTATTCGAATAGCCGCGCCCTCGGTTATGGGCAAGCTGAGCAGTGTACCCAAAGTTAGTTCTGTTTTACAAAACCTTGGGAGGGTGAAATCATGATGGTGTAGTCATGTGGAGATTAGCCTGGGTTAAGGCAGGTTCGCAGGCTTATGCGACCTTGGTGATATTATAATATTGGCTTAGAATAGGATCATGTTTTAAAATGTGCTTTAACCTGATTAAAATGTTTAAACTATGGCTTTATGCAAAATAAACCCTATTAGGCCATTTCCTTGTTTCCCCCTATGCATTATTGTTGTATTTCCGGTGTGACTTGCTGAGTACGGTGGTGGTACTCACTCTTGTTCACAAAAATAATCCAGAGGATGGACCTGAGGAAGATGAAGGCTTGGATCTCTAGTTCGCTCTGTCGTCGAGTGCCTGTGGTTGCTGCTGTTCCATAGTCTTCCGCTGTTTTATTTGTTTATCTTTGAGTGCGAGGGCTTGAGTCGTCCATGTAATAAAGTACTTCCTTTACGCTTCCGCAAGTGTGGCTTGTAATAATCAACAATGTCTATGTGTACCTCGCCTCCTGGGACGAGGATTAATGCACTGAGCGTTTGGAAATGGTGTATATTTCCGGGCGTGACAAGCTTCATAGGGAAGATGTATGATGAGATGTTGCATTGGATTAAAGAAACCAGGTGGGAATATTTTTTCCAATTTGCAAATAAGAACAGCTACATACTCTTCTAAAGAGTGGATGGTATCATTGTTTAGTTCTTTTGAACATAACTGCCTATAAAAGAAACTGAGCTCTGCCAAACACTTCCAAACACTCTCTGGAATAAATCCACGGAATGCAACAGGTAGCAAACGTTCCATGAAAACATGGTAGTCATGACTTTTTAGGCCAAAAATTTTTCTTTGTAGTAGGTTAACCCCACGCCTAATATTGGCAGCATATCCATCAGGAAACTTTAGTTCTTGAAACCATTTGAGAATTGTTGTCTTGTCATTCCTATCAATACAAAATGATGCCCTTGGTTTATGCCATTTTCCATTACCCTTCGACACTAATTGCAGTAATGGACGACTACAAATTTCAGCCAAATCTTTCCTTGCCTTCACATTATCCTTTGTTTTATCTTGTATGTCAAAGCATGTGTTCCATATAGATTCAGCTACATTTTTCTCATTGTGCAACAAATCAATATTGTGCTGCAGCTTCAGCTTATCAAAGTACGGAAGTTACCAAAAACAGCTTATATGAGTCCAATGGTGTGTTTTACCAAAGTTTTCCGTATCATCCACACACACGTACATTTCTTCTTTAATTTCTTCTCCTGTCAGAATCCTTGGTGGCTCATCAAGCATAAATGTGTTCTTTCTAAATGCATTTAGTTGAGTTCTGAATTCATGTTCGTTGGGTAGAAAGCGTCTATGACAATCAAATCAACAAGGCTTTCTACCATTACGGAGCTGAAAAGATTGAGAATTACCCATACAAATTGGACATGCCAAACGACAATGGGTGCTCCACCCAGCAAATATCCCATATGCAGGAAAATCATGGATTGATCATAGAAATATTGCCCTCATTGTAAAGTTTTGCTTGCGTGAAGCATCCCAGGTTTCTACCCCCTCCCATAACTTCAGAAGTTCATCAACTAAAGGTTGCATTAGAACACTTAATTTTTTCCTTGTATGCTCTGGTCCAGGGATGACAAGAGTAAGGAATGTGTACTCGGGCCTCATACACACACCGGGAGGAAAATTTAAGGGAGTTATAAATACTGGCCAGCAAGAATATGGAGCAGCACCTAAACTATATGGGGTAAACCCATCAGTTGCTAAAGCAAGACGAACATTTCTTGGATCTTGTGCAAAATCTTGAAAGTCCTCATCAAATTGTTGCCATGCCTCGCCATCACATGGGTGAACCATGTTACCAGATCGTGAGCGACTATGGGACTGCAGTAATCTTGCTATATCCTCATGTGCATATAACCTTTGTAATCTATCCTTAATAGGCAGGTAGCGCAAAACTTTACGTGGGGTTTTGTTTTGGCCATTCTCATAACGAGAAGTACCACAGAAATCACACTTCTCTTTATGCTCATCTTCCTTGTAGTAAAGCATGCAGTTGTTGTAACAAACATCAATTTTAACATATGGCATACCAAGACCTTCTAGCAATTTTTTTGAACGGTAAAAGTCCTTAGCCAACTTAGACTCAGGAGGTAAGAATTCATGGATTATCCCTAAAACATCATCATAATGTGCAACTGACATGTTATACTGTGACTTCATAGCTAGCAAACGAGCTACAACTGAGAGACATGAGTGTGTTGTATTCTCATGGATCAATTCATCAGCACTAGCAACCATCCTATAGAATGCTTTAGCATAATGTGCAGGTTCTTCACTACTTTCTGGTGGCTGTGCACTGGCTAAGTCAACCAACATATTATCCATCCTATCAGATTCACCAAATCCCTCATGATCTATTAATGAAGGCCCAGGATCATTGTCATTTATCACTGGTCTCTCACCATGTGATGTCCATATTCCATAGTTCTCTTTATATCCGTATTTGCACAAGTGCAACTCTATTGTATCCCTTTTGTGCCTAAAATAATTCCGACATTGGGCGCATGGACACTTAATAGTACCATCTTTAACAACTTCTTGCATATAAAATGCACGGTTTAAGAACTGTGTTGTATTATCAATCCATTCATTAGTGGGAGCTTTGCCACGTGTCCAACCACTATACATCCATTCACGACTTGTCATTCTGTGGTTAAAAACAGATTCAATTCTTAATAAATTATTTTAACGTGCATATATGTCACTCTTATTTATCACACCATAAATAACATCATCTACATAGCACAAAAAGA